GAATGTGCAAGCGACTTTCAACAATAGGCCTACCTCTCACCAAGGGTACTTTAAGAATAGAGAACAATTTTTCAAACGATTTACTGCTGTGCCTGTTGGCTTTAATTAGGGATGGGAAAAGTCTATACCACCCACATACAATTCTTAACTCCCTGACAGGATTTTTTTTTTCTGTTCTCCAAACTTGAGGCTTTTGGAGAAAGTTGTGCTAGATAGGAATAGCTCAGGTGGTTTCAATGGAAAATTTATGAGGTTCCTTAACGCCTTTTAAAAAGAGAAGACAACTATCGTAGCTGTTTAACATCTGTAATAATACTTTGAGGAATGTGGACAGTAGCTGTAAGTGATTGTGCTGAGTTCATTGAAAATAACTTTAGATTTTAAGATGTACTTACTTGAAACGAAACTTGTATTAAAGAGAAAATGTTTTTTTTTTTTTTTTAGCATCAAAATGATCAACAGCATAAATATTATTTATAATTTATTTTCTTGCATAATTTATGTTTTGTGGTAAAATCTTAGTTCGTAAGTAGGACAAAGCAATGAAGCGTTATGAATTTAAAATTTTTATATCAGAAAATATCTAGAAATAAAACAGTCTTTGGATTATTATCACTGATATGTAATAATTCTAGCATAAATCTATATTTAAAAAAAATAAAAGTTTTAAAAGCGCAAAAAAATAACAATAATAAAAAAAGATGAATTTGATAAATGTGTCTTTCTACAATTTTAATTGTATGAAAGGGGATAAAAACATAAATAACGTTAGCATGTTTTGTGTGTACGCGTGTTTTTCGTTTTTCGAGTTCAAATTTTCTGTGTTAAAATTTTTAAGTCTTATAAATTTAAAGCAATGTTCATCTTAAAATCATAACTTTTTAAAAGAGTAATTCAGTGAATTTCTTATAAAATATAAACCATAACTTTTAATCAAAAAAAAAATTAACTTTACGATAAACATTTTAATTTGTCATGAAAACAGCGCATTATGGAAGCGCAGTTATCATTAAGTGAACATTGGAATTAGGTTTGTTTGCATTTATTCCAACAATAAAAAGAAGAAAAAAGAAAATCATAAATATAAAAATTGCGGATTGTTAATGATAATAATATGTGGTCGATTAGAAATTTTAAGAATTTTTTTAATTTATCTACACTGATTCCACGACTCGCTGATTAACCCATTCACTAATATGCCGTTTCACGGATTTATTTCCTCATTCTTTTGTTCCAGTATTCACTCTTTAATAAATATTTTTAAAAATAAAAAAACAGCAAAATAGATTAATTAAACGAACATATGAAAATCTAAAAATGACTTCGTACAGTGACAAAAAACGAACTGTCGTCATAGTAACTGACACTATTACTCGTACGGCTGATTTATGCTACTTTCAAAAGTCTTTCTGTACTAAACTAACATAGATAACCAGCAATAAGTAACTTCTATTTGTTAAGTAAATATTCCGAGTAAGGTTTTTCTTCTTCTCCTTTAATCTATAGATATAGACTTATTTTAAAGGAGAGGATGAAAAACTACTGAAAATAACAAATTTACTTTAAAATGTTTTAAAAATTAGAAAAAAAAATTATAAGACCAGATTACAAAATAACGAAAAGATAGAATCTCGTCGTCAGCTTTCACGATTACATCTGCAGATTAGAGTGCTTTCTAATATCGTATTATCACAGCTAAAGCAACATATATTAATACAATAGTGTGAGTATTAGTTCTTTTATATAAATATATTTTGATTTGGCTATAATAATAATACAATATTAGAAAGCACACTAATTTGCTGATATAAAAGCGTGAGCTGACAACTAGAGTATGTCTTTTTGATATTATGTTTTCTGGCTTTGTAATATTTTTAAAAATAAATTTGTTATTTTTAGTAGTTTTTTCTTCTTCTTTCCTTCTTTTCTTTTTATTTTTCCATCGTTCCTTGTTTTCCATGTGTCTTTATTCCACATAATAAAAGGGAGCAAACCCCTTTATTACCTCATTACCTGTCCATCTTTCAATTTGCACGTGACAGGTAAAATAGATCAAACACGTCTCATAGTATTATTGAACGCTATTCTGAACTCTTAATAATGTTTTTATGCGATTAAATGCATTAGAATTTCACTGAATTGGTGAAAAGGTTATAAAAACTATTATAAATCAAAAGTTTAACTTAATCTCTTCGTGATTTAATCGCAAAGTGGAAAATATTAAAAACTTTTATTGATTTATTTTTCAAACTGTAAGAATTTGATTTTGCTCGAAGCAACAATTTTTTTTTTTTAATTTTTAGAATAGCAAAATGAATCTTAAAATGTTGAAATGAATATGATATAAAATTTTCTAATTGCTTAGATCCTGGTCTATCAATATTTCAAGAATTTCTTTATAATTAAAGCATGCTAAATGAAACAAATAAGCACATTCCTTTTTTAGCAAATCAATTCAATATCAAGTTAGCATAACGAATTTTGATTTATTCTGATCTGGTTGTTAATTTTATTTTAACGATAAATAAAATTTTAAAGCCATGTTTTAAAAATTATTTTATTACATTTATTTACATTTTGACTGGAAATATGAAAGCAATGATATAAACTTTTTTTAAAAAATTATGGTTTATCCCTATATAAATTGACCACCTAAGTCAGCCACAAAAACAATGTCCATAAATGGTACACAGGCTTTAGTGTACCAATTACTTTAAAATATAAAAATAATTATCCTGTAACAAAAAGTAAGCGTAGCTATTTTTATTTCATTTTTTTTTTCTGAGCATTTTTTGCGAGCTGATTTATTCTCTCGCTCTTTTTATTTCCTGAAGTGGCTTACTCGTAGGAGAGCATGAACAGAGCACCCGTCACATTTTCTATGGAAACCGAGAGTTCGTGACATTGATTCTAAGTTCAAATGAAGGTTGAAAATTTAAAGGTTCTGTGATTAAAGAAAGGTTCCTTAAAAAAGACTGAATGTATTTGCCTGACTAAACTACTGCAATTGTTTTCGTAATAAAAATCTAATTTTTACTAATCAAATGCTGTTTTTGTTCTCAACCAAACGTTACATTTGCATCTAGCAATCAAAATGTGCTCTAACAAATCACGTTGGTGAATCAATTTTAATTTTGAGTCTACGTGTTAAATATTCGCTTTTAATGAAAAAAAAATTGGAGGATTTACAAAATAATAAAATAAATATATTTTTGTAGAATGCAAATTCGTTTGAAATCGACTAAAAGAATTAAAAACAGTACACTTAGTACAGTAGTATGCATTAATAATTATTTTAATAATAATAAACTCGTTTAACTGAATTAATATTTTGAAAAGAATGTAATTGTCTTTTAAATCCACTCATCAAATTGCAGATTTAAAGTCCGATCATTAATGAAGTGTGATCACGAAAGATTTGTCGAGCGAAACCCTATTATCAGATTTAATTATTTAATTATAATGCAAAACTATGAAATTTTTGCATAGTTTGCTGCATTTTTCATTTAATATATAACAATAATAACAACTGTCCAGCCAAAGTATAGAAAATTATAAGTTGAATTTTCTAAAAGTTGAAATTTCTGGATTTTAAAAACATTGTTGGGTCTATCATAAGCAATAAAATATTACTTTATTCTGCCCAGTTAAGAAGTTTTCTTTGATGAAAATGATTTGTAAATTGCTTCTTGGTGCTTCTAAAATTCTAAAACTGATTTTCATAAATTAACTAAAATGTTCTTCCCTTCTCCCGCCATCATAGAATCTTCAAATATTATCCGCTATAATTGTGTTTTTAATATTTATTCACCCAATAACCTCTTTATTTTTTTCTTGCACCTTCTTTATTCATTTACAGATTTTTCAGATTTAAAATCTACCACACTACATACATTTAATTCTAAAAAATGCAGTTTCAAAAAAGAAATTTAAAAAAAATAAGAAGGAGTAATATTCATATTAAATTCAGATTTTCTGGGGCGTTTTCTGCTTCTAAACGAAAGTGTCGGAACGTCAGAATGGCGCGTTCCAGCTCCAGCTCTACAGTGCCCCCATATGTATGTAGTGTACGAATATCTGATATGACTTTCTGTAAAATAGCAGGGAATTAAATATTCGCATTTAACGTGCAGTTTATTTTGTGAAACTTCAAATTTTTCTATAAAGGTGCTTGAGACTTAAATAATCCAATCTAGCGATTTTTTTATTGTTTCTACATCTTTATTTTATTTTTTATTTTGAATTCTTGCAATTCGTATAAATTATAAATTCATGAAAATTTGTACCAAAAAGGGAAAAAAATAAACATGAGTATTCCATAAATATTTCTATTAAAATTACATTTTTCAGCAAGTTATTTGTTTTACTCATCCTCTGCCTTAATTCGCTTGGTTTCAAACAGGTTTGCTGGTATTGACAAGTGGCATAAATAACAACATATTGTTTACAGCTTGGCCAACAGAACAGAATCATTGTTTGCCAAGGTTTACAGTCTCAATAGTAGCATAAGCTTTTACTTATAATTATGTTTCATAGATGGCAGCTTTATATTTTATAGAGAATTTATTTTAATTCTAATCAAACTTCTTTTTTTTTTTTGTCAGTATCTTTTTAATTCTTTTCAATATTTCTGCTTTTTGCATAAAACACTCCTTATTTTTTTCTGTATAAATTCATACAGTTAGAATTACAACAGCACTATAATTTAATAATATTTTTATTTTCATGCCTAGTACGGGTTTTACGTAATATATATTTAGTAAATAATTTTTCCACATATACACTCAATTCATTTTTCACATTCAAGAATTTTCATCATTAATTTACCTTCACTATAAGATTTTAAGAATGCGTTTTTAAAAAGAATTCCAACCGATATTGTATTAACCAACGAGTAGTAATAACTGAATATTGTTGTCCAATTTTCCTTTTGCAGTACAACTTATCCATAATAGATGGAGCCATGATCCACTCTTTACAGCTTTTTTCTTCTAAAAAGTTTTAGCGCTAAGTTTATCTATTCATCTCGTCGGAATTCGATAATTCGTTAGTTTTGTTTTAAATTGTTTGTTTATATTGGCGATATGACCACGATGGTGATGACGGTTTATAGTGAAATCAGATCAATTTTGGTTTTTAATGTACAAGTTTTTTCTTCACCATCTTTCATAAACTATAGATTATAAATCGAAATCATTTATTTTTTTTGTATCAAATTTAACTTGAGTTTCAAGAAAAAAGAAATATGGATGATGAAACATTTTATGTTGTTTTACAGTTGTGTGACAGCGGTAATAATCACAATAGCTTCTAGTAATTATATATTGTAATGAAAATGAAGCAAAAAGTTATGATTAAATAATAATGTATTGCCAAAAAATCATTTGTATAGACATCTAACTATTGTTTAACTTGTTATATGCTAAACTTTTTTTTACTACAATTTTAATTATTTTTTCAGCATTTCCTACTGGCGGATTTTCACATAGTATGGGAATAGAGGCTGCTATACAAAATTTCTACACAGATAATCAAAGTAATATTGTTTAATTAAATCATTATCTTAATCAATAATTTCTTCATCTTATATATTTTTTTAAAAAAAAGGTACTTTTCAATCAACTTTTAAATTTTTATGTATTTAAAAAATAAAAAAAATTTGCAAAGGCATTCATTATTGACTTTTTGCTAACCGAAAAGTACCAATCATAATTTGCATTGCATAATTACAATTTATAGGGTATAACTTTTCTGCTTTCATGAAACTTGGGAGAGCCCTAGGTATAGTTAGCCTGTGTGACAATTAATTCCTGAAAGTGTAATTTATTTAAGCTATCCTTAAAATTTCAAAACTTTTTTCTACTTTAATCAGTCAACTTAATTTTCTATTTTAATAATAATACTTTAAAATCAAAAATAAAACTTGTAAAGATGAAGTATAGAGATATTTTCTTTTGATTTATTATGTTTGGTATTTTTCAATTAACCAGGGGCAAGCAAAAATTGCCCAAAAATGTATGCCTTCACCACTTTTTTATTTTAGTTATTTTTTTAAATGCATAAAAATTGATTAAAATGAAAAAAAAAATTAAGAAAAATAGTGAATTTCCTTGCATTTGGCTAACCGAGAAAGTGCCGAATTTTTATTCACTTCAAGTCTTACAATTCAAGTTTCATTGAATGTCTTTAGGCTTGAAGTGCAAGGTTGCTTGACAAAGTAGCTTAGATTTCTATTTTGCTTGTATTTTATTATAAATTTTAATGCATATAGCTTTTCAAGTTAATGTTTTCTTTCGTGAAATTCTGGATCCTTAAATCCTTTACTGTAATCATTTTATATAATTTTTTTAAGTAATTGTTGTACAACCTTGATAAATTTGTTACTATTTTTGCTATGCAGTTTGTTTTTCTAATTCTTTGTATGTTTCTTTTTTTTATTTAGACAGTTTGAAAAATTATATTCTATGTTCTCTAGAAAATACAGGTATTCATCACTATTATTTCTTTGTTAAAGTGTTTTAATTACTTTATTAGAATAATCTGTGAGTTGGCAAAAAATGAATTAAAAAATCATTAAGAACATCTACATTCCTATCATACAGTTCGTACTTTTACCTTGATAATTTTTCATATAGAATGCTGTTTGCTCTTATTTAATATTAAATGCCTTTCATTTCACCATATAAAATGTGTCTTACATTTTTGGGAGGAATAATTTATTATTTTCGCTAATAATTTTTAATTTAATTATGTATGGCAATTTTTGCAAAAAACAAAAACCACAGTATTTTGATTCATAACATTTTCTAAGCTACTATGGTATTCACAAAAATGGGAGATAGAGTTTGCACCGATCTCAAACACCAAAGAATTTGTTAGCGAAAAAATTGTATTCTAATGTGTTTTATAATAAGTTTCATGTTTATTTTATGTTATGTATTCAGAAAGCCTTTTCTTAGCAATTTGTTCTTGATTAATATAATGTTACTTTCAAAATTTTTTTTTTGGGAGGGGGGGGGGATATCTATTTTATTGAGGAATGAAAAAGCTGCTTGTGCGTAGCCTTATGTTCTGCTTAAGAAATCCTATTTGATCTCATTAAGCTTCAAACTGCATTAATAAATGGTATTGCTAACATGCAACAAAAATGTTGTTTTATAGTCTTTCTAATTTGCAGCATCATCTATTGAGAAAATTATTTACTAATTTTGAAATTAGCAGAGTTATATTTTTTGTTAGTTAGTATCAAAAACTTAGTATCAACTCGAGGCACATTCAGACAGTCACCGCTGACCTTCTACTTCAGAATCACTTCAGGCAATTATCTGCAGTGGGTGAGGGTAATGTTGCTCGCCTCAGTGACTCTGGTGACAAGGGGCTCACCAGGCAATGCAAAACGAGCAATTACCTCCTGCACCTTCCATAGCACAGAACGATAAATTCAGTGCCTGCCGTTTAAAAAAAACTTTTCCCAAAATTTAACTCCATGTATCGTAGCATCTAGTTCGTGACTAATTTTTTGTTTTCTACATATTTAAGGGTGAAGGCTATATTTTATATCGAAACCACAGATTTTGGTATTTAACTGTGTTTCCAATTATTAATTAGTTCAATAATGTATAATTAAACTGCACCGTTAGGAATGAAAGTCTCAATTTATTTAATTTTTTGTTTATACTATTTGCTGCCACTAATTTTGAGTGCTACATTTCTGTTCTTTTTGACATTTATTATAAAACAAATTATCTGAAAGCAAAAAATCTGAATGTATATATCGCTGTAATAATCTTACCTTTTGATAAAGCAAAATTGCTTATAACTATTTTAAGTTATCTTTTACTTTTTCTGAAACATTCTAAATACTTTTGAATTAATTTGTAATATCCATTAAAATGTATTTTGGGGAATATTTCTGCATTGAAACATGCACCAATATAATTGTCAAGGTTTGGAAAGTCTTAGGCAACGGTCTGAAAGAAAAAAATAACTTCATATAAGGTGTCCCTCTTGAAGGAAATATCATAGTCATTCATGGGGTTAGCCTCTACCTATTTCAAAAAAACTTTTTTCAAGTTTAAAATCCCAGTGGCATTTTGGCAATTGTAATTGTCACAAAAAAGTATCAATATGGAAATATACCCTTATTTTGTAACAATTATACAATATTTTCTTTTTTATAATTAGGTTCATTTTGCATTCCTTATGTGAGAGCCTCTTATGAATCAGCTTTTGATTTGAAACAAATAACTGAGTTAGACTCAGCTCACAATGCTGCTCTTTTGAATCATGTTGCTCATAGGGCTAGCAAGCAGCAGGTAATAATTTTAAAGAATTTTATAAATTAAGGGAGAAATGTATTTATTTACAAGTTCTTATATATTTCACCCTGATTTTATTATATTGCTACTTATTAGCCGGTATGTGGTATTTATTTCCATTAAAAAATATCATGTATAAAGACACAAGCGTTCTATCTCACTATACCAAATAATGATAGTGCAATTTGATTTATTTAATATAATTGCATATACAGTCAAACTTGTTTATTGTGTGTGTGGCGTAACTACCACTACGAAAATTAAACATCAATTCACTGGTATATAAAGCATGCTAACTTGATTCTACCACGAGGTACCTTTTGATAGATGACGGTTGGTATTGTCTGATAACTCCTCCCCCACATTGGCGACCTCCGGATGTGATTTGAACACACAGTAACGCCCACTTCGCAAAATTCCTAACAGTAACGCCTACTTCGATAGATCGTCCACATTGAAAGTTGACTAGCTACTTGTGACTGCGTCATCACCCTCCTGCGCTGTTGCTACTCAGACTCATCTCGAACATACAACGTCATACACTCTCAACTGCTAATGTTAACACAGGAGAAACTACTACTGTGAACTTAATACACCTCTCACATTCAACACTCAAAATTCCGGTGACCACTCTCCCGCTCAGTCACAAGTACAGCAACTAGTGATATCTATACAACGAATTTTATCCCTGATAGAATTCTGGTGGGGGAGTAATGTGGCGTAACTACCACTACGAAAATTAAACATCTGGTATATAAAGCATGCTAACTTGATTCTATCATGAGGTACCTTTTGATAGATGACGGTTGGTATTGTCTGATACTGATGACTCCTCCCCCACAGTGTGCCCTGATTATTTCTGTTGAAATCATCTGACATGCAGCCAAAAAGAAAAAAAAAACATTAAGTTTTTTTTGAGCTTTTTAACAAATTTTAAAAATTTTTGAGAATAAGTTTTCTGGTTTCCTAAAGATTTTAGGTTTTAATTGTATATTTCGACCTCCTTCCTTTTCTCTGTAATTGATTTTTCATATTGAAGTCTTTTCTGGGACAAACAGTAGTTCTTAAATACCCTATTTAAACAGAAAATTATTAATCAAATATGTTTTTGCGGAGGTCACTAAAAAAAAAATTACACAATCGCATTACGTTTTTATCTCAGATATAGTGTCAATTGGAATTGGCTCTAAAATGGAATAATATGCAGTACATAGAGTTAATTTACCACATTAAGATTCATTTCAATTTTTGTTGAATGTAACAGTATTTTATAGCTACACACACTCTGCAACTTTGCACCACATTTACTTAACACATTGTTGACAAGTTAACTCATCTTTGCACAATGCACAAATGTTGTTCACCAATGCTAAGTTAACTAGTTATTGCATGTGCAATGTCCAGTTAACTCATTATCAGTCAACAACATTTCGGCATGAAATAAATATTTAGATTGTTTTACTTGACTTCCATATTCAATTACAAAATAATATCTGATAGTTTCTGTGTAAAATTGCCGGTCAACAAAGTGTTAAGAGTTAATTTTTTTTATTCACTCAATAGTTCTACTAATATTTTTAGGGAAAGGCTCTCCTGACTACCTCATGTGAAGTATTCAAGTTTTCTCAACTACAAGACTTAAAAGAAATTGTAGACGAACAGAAAACACATTGCCATTTTGTGAGCTACTAATTTTGATATTTTTTTCTTCAAATAATTATATAATGAACAATTGTTAATCTTAAGTTTATTTTTAAAAAAATGAATCTTTTATTAATTTTAATTATTTGAGCAAATATTATTTTCAGTATGTCAAATACTTCTGTGTTCAGAAACAATGTTAATGTTTTGTAAGGTCTATGTAATCGGCTAATTTTCACTGGAAAAAAAAACCTATGAAGTTAAACTTTAAGGAAATAAACAGAAAATTGCTTGTATTATATTGTCTTAAACAATAATTTTTCAGGAATTTTTGAAATTTAGACTTTGACATTGTTTGTCTTTCTATTAAGCCAAAGTATCCATAACTTTAACTCTGCTACTTATCTTTTAATAGCAATTTGCTGAAACAGAAAAAGTTTCATGTCAGTATTGATTGAGTTTAGTACAGGGTTTGAAAAAACCCGGGGATTTTTGAAAAAACCCAACCCGCCTGGGTTTTATTGAAAAAACCCGGGGAAAATTGGGTTTTATTTGNATTTTCTAATTTTTTCTCTCTCAAAGTTTGTCTCAGACCTTTTACTTCTGGTCGGAGGACCTGTTTGAGTAGCCCTGACTTAAATCATGTAACATATAAATGAAATTCAAGGTTAATGTTATTATAAAATTAGTTACTCAAAATCTTGTTTGCTTTATTAAATCTAACCAAAGGAAAATTGTGATGTCAAACTTGGTTGTATCAAAATATATACTGTCATTTATTAATGTTGCCCCCCAGAATTTTCCATTATTGCAAGGGGGGAAATTCAGTAGGTGGTTTCTTTATTTAGCTTAATTTATTAAATTTTTTAATGTGTGTTAGTTAAAATATTATATTTTATACATTTATTTTTAATAACTACCAGTTATTTATCTTAGTTTCCTAATTTCTTCTCACTTTGCATCATTTTGTTTAAAAAAATTTGTTTTAACCTTTCAAATTGCTAAAGAATAACTTTTAATAAAATAAAAAGACTGATTCGTTTTAAAATTTTTCAGCCAATTGTATTTGGAGTTTTATGTGCTACACTAAATATTCCCATAAAAAAAGTTGGGAGAATGTTTTTGTTCAATTCCTTACGAACATTAATTGCGAGTACTGTTCGACTTGGAAAGATTGGAACTGTACAAGTAAGTTTTATTCACATTGTCCTACAAAATTAAGTATTTTATGAAAGCTGTATATTTGTTAAAATAAAACTTGAAAAATGTATGAAGCTTAAAATATTTTATTTAAAAGAATTTCTCATATTTGGATATAACATTTGGCTAAATGAAAAGAAAGCAGGTGTGTACGCAAGACAGCTGTGCCTGTATTCATACTCATTAATAAAGATGAGATATTGCGAATAAATGATTAATCAACTCACGTGAGATTCCTCAAAGTGAATATAAATTTATATTAAGCCAAGACAGTAAAATGTGAGCTAGAAAAATTTTTAGTGCCAGAAATTGAATGTAACATGCACTATCACATTGTTCTGTTCTGGAAGTATACATCTTACATTTGCTTTAAATTCTCTCATGCAATGAATCAATTATCTGCAATCAATGCAATGAATCAATTATCTGGTGAATCAATTATATGCAATCTGTGGTATACTCTTCCACCGTTAATGGTGGCATTGCTAGAGCTACTATATTTGGGCAACCTTTAAAAATATGTAACTGTAACATTTAATTTGGAATTCAATAAAAAAGTTTAAATAATATTGTTAAAAAAGTTTGAAATTGCATATAAGTTGTAATTTTATGAAATATGTAAAAAAAATAGATAAAAAAATACTTTTTAACACAAAGCCGTTAAACTCATAAAATTACGCTTATAAAATATACTCTTAAAATTACACTTATAACAATCAAAAATTTCTATGTTAAAAAAACTGCTCTACAGTTAGGTATAACTTGCACCAAACAATGTTCCTTTTTTTGTATTTCTTTCTCTTTTTTTTTTGTAATGTAATTCTATTCATAAGCTTTCAATATCTGTCTAAATATATTTTCCTTAAACATCATATTTTTCTTGTAATTTATTTCATTGAATAAAAAAATAATTATTATGTATTATCATAGGCACAAAATTGGCAGCATTGCATAATGAACAGCTTAGATGACATTCTTTCAAGGTATTTAAAACTTTTTGAAAATTTTCGTACAGTGTGCAAAATAAAAAAAATTAATCACCTACGTAACTTTTGATCTAACAATCAGATTGTCATGTACTACAATATAATCATATGGTTTGTGGGGTTTAACTTTAATTAATTTGTACTTACCTTATTTTGATTTACATAATCAGACATAAAATCATAAATTTTTTGCATCAACTTACATGTAGATTCTTAGTCCTAAAAATAGGAGAAGCTTCAATCTGAAATTCGTATTCCTTAAAGTTTTGATTATTAAACGTTTGATTATTAAAAAGTTTGATTATTAAACGAAATAATTATTAAAAAAAATATTATGTAGAATTATTTTTGGACATTTAAATTTTATAATTGTGTGTGAATTGTTTTTGATAAATAATTTCAGAGATAAGAAAGCAAAGTTAAAAATAAGTTGTTTAAGTTATTAGGACCATATTTTTTCAGATTGCAGTTACCTTTGCATTTTTAGGGCTAAGAATATAAATCTAGAAAAAACACTTTTGTATTGCGATATCTTACACAAAAATTACTGTCAAATGCTTTAAGCTCAAACTTTAGATAATACGAATTATTTTTAAAACATTGATGAAAGTTCTAGTTTCAACATTGATTTTTTTCCCCATTACTTAAAGTTCGATAAGTCGACTTTTTCGATTTTTCAAGGAAACTTTTGTTTCCCAAACATCAATTCCAATCTATAAGTCAAATTTTTTTAAGAAAAACAAAAACATTTACAACCTATAAAAATTTCCTATAATGAATTTTGCATAAATTCTAAAACAGTTCTCAACTAGCAGCTCAGGTTTATGAAAGAAACAACTTTGGGAGGATAGCTTATCTAAATTTCGCCTCAGTATTATTAATGTGAGAAATGTATTAAAAAAATAAAAAAGAGAAACACGATTAAGTATTAATTTTTTGTTTTGTTACATTGAAAAATTCAGAAGATAAGAAAGATAAAGGATCTTTGCTCTTTTTATCCAATATTGTTGCAATAGCTTTCAGTGACTGGTTTCATTCTGCTTTCTTATATATATTTTCCGTCAATTGTTGTCATGGGGTTATAATGACGTTTATTCTCTCTTTTTTTTTTGTGAGGTGTGAGAAATTGTGCACAGAGTTCTGGATATTAATAGATTATAAGTAATCTTTGACCATCCCCGTGGCAGAAACACGGCGACACAGCGACATTGTCGCAGAAAGCGACTGAGTTCTTGCAGAAAGATTTTTTTTTATTTGGGAAGTAAAAATTTTTGGTTTGCCGCAAACAAAAGTTCTCAAAAAAGATTCTGCAGAAACAGAAGCTGTTTTACCAACAAAAAAAAAACATTTTCTACAGAAACAAAAAATTTCTGCAGAAGCAATAATAGTTCTGCAAAATTTTTTTCTTACAGAATTGTTTTAAATATTTTTTTTTTTCTAGCGTACTGCGGAAGGAGAAAGCGCTCGTTAATCTCCAACACAAACAGTTACTGGATAAAAAGGGGAGAACTTTTTTCCCCTTTATTAAGCTATTTTTGAAAATTCGTCAACTTCGGCCTCTATCGCTGGCGCAGTAATTTGCTTTGTGTTTTCTTATGAGAACAGAGTATTTTATATTTTTTGCACTTATGTGAAAAATTTCATGCGTAAAAAGATTCTTTTTTTAAAAAAATCATGTCGAGCGAAAAGGTTATTTGTTGCAATTGTGAAACCACAATAATTAAAACAAATTTGAAAACTGATTTTTCAAGGCGGCATTCCTAAGAAGAAATAAGATGGAAGTCGACAACATCTAGCGATGTCAGAGATTTTTTTTCTGGAAAGCGACAGGAAAAGAAGCTTCCCACGCTACTTAAAAAAAAAAAAAAAACGTTCTAGATTTGAATCAAATATTCTTACTAGTAGCGATATCCAGGGGTAATTGTGAGCCCAAGTCAAAATTCCGGAAAATTTCTTAAGTTAAAAAAAAAACAGTTTCAATTGAAAAATTAGTAAAACATTTAAGCAAGGTTTTTTTCTTCCTTTTTCTCAATATTTCTTAGTTTGCTTAAAATATATTTAAAATTTTACACATACCTATACCATTTACACATACCTATGATGACCTGGAGAAGTAATTAAAATTTACAAATATGTCTTTCTTTCTTGAGTTTATGATTATAACAACTGTTTACACGATACTGTTTACACATTGTACAATATTAATCACGAATATAAGCTTATGAAGTATCCCTCTGGCTCTCCCTTACGAACAAATAAAATAAGCTGTGTTTTTAAGTTCCACCTTTGAAAATTTATTTCCAGAAACTTCTGTGATCAATGATTTTTTGAAACTTCCGAATCACTGTTAGCGAAAATTCTGGAAATCCGGATTTTTTCCGGAGCACAATCAGCCCTGGATATCGATAGTAAGGATGAGACAGCATTTCCAACAAATCAAGAAATTTTAGAAGCAGTAAAAAGTAAAAAATAACTATATATATACATATTTTTAAAGATAAAATGCCTATATCCTTTGAATTAAGTCGTCGATAAAAGAGAAAAAAAAAAAAGAAAGAAAAATCGCAATCTAACGATAAATGAAATAAAGCCTGAAAGATCTCACTATCTACGATTTTTTGGCATGCGAATAAAAACCAGATTGGTGGAAAATATTTACTGGTGAAACACTTTCAAACAGGTTTCCATACGCATGCGAAAAAAATCGCATCCAATGAGTATGGCTCTAATACCGATGTTTCAGTACTGTTAAAGACTATTTCGTTTCGAGATGTTGAGTAGACTTGAGCATATTGAGTCGGAAACAGCTTCTGCATACTTCGTGTGGAATCAATGCTATATATTTACACAATACAGTGCGAAATCACAAGCGCTGTGTATTTTTTTCGTTCTGAACTTAATCTGATCACGAAAAAAGTTTTATTTACCTCCTTTTTGAAAAAAAAAATCTTTCAATAAGTCAGTACAATATTAATCAAATCTAATTAATCTATAATTAATTAGATAAAATTAATGAGATGTAGAAAAAATTGAAACAAACATCGCTTTAATTTTTTTGCTTTTAGAATTCGGTTATAGCCAATTCTATTTTATTATTTTGATTACTCAACTTCAATATTAATTTTTTCACCTGATTTGTTTCTGTACCTGATATAACTACTATAATGAAACATTAAATCATACTGTTTTAAACTGCTTTAATAATTTAATTTTGATACTGTTTTAAACTGATACTTCAAATTCAGTTATCTTGTTTTATAAATTTAATCTTTTTGTCCATTCTTAGCTATTTCTATAAGTTCTATCTTATTACAGGTTCTGGGTAATCTTTATTTATGCTCTAGTAAGCATTTTTGTCTGCAGATCTATACATTTATAACTTTTCGTTATTATCGAAGATTATGCAAATTTATACTTAAACAATTTAAACTTATTAAGAAATGTAAACTTATATTATGAAATTAAGAAAAAAAATACACAGTTTTATTCTATGCATGTAGACTTATTTTATAAACACGAATTTCATCTATTATTATAAATTCATTACACATACATTTATAACGATAAAAATATCTTGCAGAAAGATATTGGTTCTAGTTAGGTTTGTCGCAGAAATTTAGAAAAAATTCTGCCACAGGGTTGACCATAAGCAGTTGTGACATTCTAAGAAGTATTTTGTTGAAGAATTTTAGTTTCTGCTTTTTCGAAGTTGTTTTGTTTGCTGCTCTTTTCGGTGGAGTAATTTTAGCACTGATTTATAACAACTAAAGCTTAAAAATATGGATGACCAGAATAATTATTGAACAATTGTTATTAAAACTTGACAGCAAATTCCAGTGCGAAAAAAATAAATGTTTCATTATTCATTAACAGTTGTCCAGCCCATCTAAAATGACTCAAAATTTGCAACCCATCAAGCTTATCTTCTTTGCACTCAACATGACATCGAAACTTCATCCTATAGACCAAAGTGTGATAAAAAAAAACCCTCCAAGATAACCTTTTTTATCCATCCTTCTTTCGTATTAGTCTATTTTTTGATAACTCGAAGTAATTTAGCTTCAGATAACACTTCCAGTTATCTAAGTTTCACTATAAGTAGCATATTTAAAGTTAGTCCCTCAAACCATTAAGAATTGCTTTTTAGAAACTTGGTACTTGATCACTAGATTAGAATTTAAGACATTCTGTTTTTTTTCTCTAGAATTCTAAATATTCTTGCTTATTTATTTTTGTTACTATCAAATATAACTAACTTGTTTTTCGTATATCCTTTTTTGGTTAAATGCAATTTTGTGTATTGTTTTATTTTGCATAACATTTTTGATAAAAATCTAGCTTTTAAAGTCAAATCTTAGGTATGAAACAGAAGAAAATAATAATGAAATTTATTAAATTGAGCTATAAACCTTGAATTTTTATTTAATTACAGATTTTTATATTAGTATTGTCATTTATATCAATAATAATCATTGTAATTAAAGGGACTTTTAATTGTAATCGAAATTTCAATACGTAGTATATAGGCAATATATATAGATAAATATATGTGTATATCATACAATTGCTATTTTGTCATAATAAGCTCTTTATTGTAAAGAATCAGCACATTTGTTCTCCCAATTACTTATTATTATTTTTTTTAAATGTAGGTATTGGCAGTTGCCATGGGATGAAGCTTGCATTACGTATCCTATTGTAGAAGTTTTACAAAATTCTCATGATAAAATGTTTTCGAAATTATTTTTCTCTTAATTTTAAGTTTTTATTTTGTAATCTTTTTATTGTCAATTACTTATTATAATAAAGAGAGAAATAAATATTTTTAAAAAAAAGGTTATTTAACAAAATCATTTGAAAGATAGGTGCTATTTGAATGGTCTGATAATTCATATATTATAAGAAAAAAAAGTGGGAAATAGCCCCACTTGCACATGTTTACAGGTAATTTTAATCGCATTTTAAAACTAGTACATCTGAAGCTTATTTCAACTACCTAACAATATTTTCCACAAATCAGATAAGATAGAAAAAAGAAAAAAAAAACATAGACTCATTAGACTGTGTGCCTCAAAATAAATTTGAGTTGGATCACTATTCAAATAAGGCCCTCATATAAGCTTATTTAATGTTATTATCACAGAAAATTACTAAAAAAATCATAATAAAACTTTTTTTTAAACTAAATATATGTGGTATAAAATTAATTTTTTCTATAAGTATTGTAAGTCTTTCTTAAGTATTGCTAGTCAGTAACTAATTGTCAAACACATCCCTTAAAATCATGTAATTTTTCATGTCTTTTTTCTACAAAACAACTTGTGCCTTAGTTTGTAGAATTCCTAATTTATAATGTAATGTGAAGATAAAGAGAATAACCTTCCTGCCAGATTTAAAAATCTAAGCAACTGTAAGTGTGCGTCTCTTTTTGATATTATTTATGTTATTAATTCAGAAATGGGTTTACACAAGTATTTTACAATAATCAATATTTCACACATAGATTTATTTTAATTTGGCTTTTAAAGCAGTATAATAAATTGATAATTTTAAATAAAAATCGTCAAGAAGATACGCTAGTCTTAAGTAAAATCTCTTCTTTTCCAAATAGACTAAACATTTACCGAATAATGTGTTTATGTACTAAAGAAATGAGAATCTGTTTGCAGAGTAAAAAGAATACAAACTAAAGTGCTTAGGAGCACAACCAATGATTTATAAAAAATATAGTAATTATTTAGAGGAAAAAATGTACAATAATGTTGTTTTTATGATTTATAAATTAATAGCAATACTGTGTTTGATTATCTTACAAATAAAATTATTTTTATTTTTATTATTGTTCCTAGTGTGGTTAAAACACAATGACTTAAACTAGAATTTATAATCCGTATTATTTTCTCATAAATAGCCATCAACTAATAAATATTGGATGGTGATTTTCCAACAGTTTAGGCATTATTTCCATTTGTACACAAGAACCTTTTGGTCAAAATAAGTATACACAACAGTGCTAAGCTATCCAGCAAAGATGCTGAGTAAATTTTTTTTCTACTTCCACAAGACAAAATCCTCAGATACTGTAAAACCTATTTTTTTAAAAAATAAATATTATAATATTACAATTTATTAATTTATATAAAAATTGTAACAAGATTAATTAAAGTTAATACTTATGTCATTTTAGCAATTTGTGTTTTTAGGTTGGTGTAAAACTGCAATACTAAATCAGGAACTTAATTACCTTAATAACTTTATCAATCTTATAAGACAAACTTGCAAAGCTTTAAAACAAGACTTTAATGCTTAGGTCAATAAATACATAATATTTATATTTTCAATTCTATAGAAGTACAAAAATAAAAAATATAATGAAATCTTTCTCATAGTGAATCACACATTTCATTTGTGACATACTACTTATATTTATGAAAGTCTTACAACAGACTTTATAAATGGACATTATTTAGTTAGTTTTATATACAGTAAAATCTCCGGGAAAGACCGCCTCTATTTACGACCACTTTTGGGAGGTGAAGAATTGTTTCCGTAGACTTTGCGTTGAAGAAAACCTTTAGGAGAGGCCATCAAAACCTCTACCAGCGACAAGGCAAACCTTTGCTCCAAATACGGCAAAGGTGGAATTAGAAAACGAAAAATATTAACAATACAAATAAGTAAATTCATATCTATTTGTTCTTATATAGATGGGTCTTTTTGACGATCTCTGAGAGATCACGTTGTAGTCAACCGAGTTAACTAAGAAAAAAATAATCATCTCAAATAAATAAACCTCTTCATATCTTAAAGCTAACTAATTGTTATAATACAAAAATAAATGCAATCCAAAACAAAAAGATATATTTGTTTATTTATTTAAAATAGTTCTATCATTTCTAAATCGTAAATTTGTTTTTACACATGATTATATCAGTAGGGATAAATTTTTATTGACGCTAAATTTTATTCATCTATCCGGTATTCACGACGCCAACAAAAGTGGCATTTCCGCACCTAAAAAAAGACACTGGGCAAAATTAAAATCTCTTTTGAAAAAGCATGTACCTTCGATAACATTTTAAAGTCAATGGAGGTAACCCCAAACCTCCAATAATGACCATTTTACTGTGGAACCGAAAGGGGTTGCTCCCGAGAGGTTTCACTGTATATTTATAACAAGAAATAATTTACAATTTCTAAAGGACTATCAAAAGGTTGTCTGCTGATCTTTAACAAGTATTGAATCACATTACTTTTTATAAATTTATAATCCTAATTTGATTAATGTTGACTTTCTGTTAGTGAAGTTGAGTAAAAGGAAAAAATTACGCAACTTACCTTTGCAAATTATTAATATTTTCTCATATATCAAAGATATAATGAATACTTTAAAAAATTATTTTCATATGATTTGCCTTAAAGCTTTGAATGAGCGATGTTGCCATCAATCCTTGGGATTCTGAACTAAGATGTACTTTCACTCTAGTGTCGCTCTCTTGACAAAAGAAAGACGCACCTTCCTGACTGTCAATGGCTGGCTTGTCCAAGTGTCATTAGAAACAAAAACAACAAGAAACCTCTTAAATGTTCAACCCTTTTAAATATTGGAATCCAAATACTCTTAGGGAATAGTTACCGTTGACCATATTGTTTTTCTGTCTTTTTTAATAATTTTATAATAAATTAATATTCATTACTCACTAACATATAAGACTGAAAAACATTAAAACAAAACAAATCAATAACCAATTACCCACTATTTATACTATGTCGACTTAACACCAAAAATGCATTTTTTTTTTGTAAAATTAAAAAACATACCTAAATATGTATTAAATATGATTTTTTTTCCGTAATAGTAAACTCATCTTTTTAAAAATATCAGATCATAGTATCGCATTGAGCGATTGTAAAACACACATAAAGAAAAGAAGAAAAAAAAAACATTACTCTTTTTATTGGAAACATTTTAGGGAGCTATCATGGAGCAAGAAAAGGTATATATAGTCGAACTTTTTTTTTTAAGTGTGTACAATATGGGGGAAATAAGTTTCCCCCATATGGTAAACACACTTTCAAAGAGTTTTAGTTTTAAAATTGTGAATTTAAAATGTAATAGCATGGTTTTTGTAACAGAAAAGTTTGGTGAACTGTGATTGGTGAACTGTGATGGTGACTTTGGATGAATATGCATTTTAAAAAACTATTTTTAATAATCATAAATGCATAAAAATGTTTTGAAAAGTGTTTGAGAAAAAAGCTGGTTAAGGCTTCTGTTAAAAATGAGTCAACAAGTTAGTGATATATTGTAATTATTCTAGATTTTTAGAAAAAAAAACAAGTTTTTATATAAATTTTTGAAAATCTGCTCATTGTTTGTAAAATTTGTGGACTTAAAATTATGGTGAAAAAGAAGAGAAAAAACACACACACACTATGCCTTTCAAGGAGTTATACTTCAAAAATTATAAATGTCATAACGTTTTTTTTAAAAAGAGAAGTTTTGTGAAATATTAGGTAAATATTTTGTGAAATGAAATAATTTGTGAAGGGTCCGTTTAAAAAGAAAGATAAGGGTCGCTTTATTGATAAAAATAATTATGAAGGCTCAGCTTACAAACCCAAATTTTTATCTGAGTGACACATATATTTTATTTAGCTTCAAAATTATTGTACATCTTACAATTTTCACAGAAATGCCTCAAGTTTAATAATTAAAACTCACACAAAATACTCTAAGTTAAATAATAAAGTCCACACGTTTTTATTTCAGTGTAAATACGAAACTTTAAAAAGTAATCCTTTTTAAAAACAATTTATTCTATATTTGTGCATTATAGCTTTTAGTTCTGATCAAATGAGTAAATTGTATAGGTCTATCGGCTCAAACAAACGTAACAGAATACAGCAAAAATGCTTTTAGTCTAAAAATATAAACATATCTTTAAAATTGCTTTAAACTATTAATGGCATTTAAAATAATATTAAAAAAAATTGTACAAAAATATATGTAACTTTAACAGAAAATATTTACACTACAATTAATATCTAAAAATTATTAACATCAAGGTAGATTTAAAAGGCCATTAGCTTCATATAATTTTTGTGTTTCTTCATAAACTTTTTTAGATACAGCTGCTATGTCACCCATTAACTTTCCATAAAAAAATATTATTTCTTCTTCACATGGGCCACCATAAACTTTTTCTATAAATTGCTGTCTTGCTGGCAAAGTATACATAGCTATGCCAGCACCTTTTTGTATAAGCCAAGGATGATGCTTAGACAATGTTTCTTTATAACACTTTTGAGCAATGGCTGAGCTCTTTTCATCATTTTTAGCTACACTAAATTCATACATAAAAGACATTATGAATTCAAGAGATCTATGAAGACGCAACAGGGTTCTCGATCCAGAAGGCTTACTGTTATCTGCAGTTATACCTGTAGAACTTTCATATTCAATCATAGATTGAATTGTAGTGTATTGACTTTTATTTTCTGAACTTCTGTACTGTTCCAAGATGTCTACTTTACTTATGATATCTGATGCTACAAAACCAAAAACCGAACCAAGGAGCATGAAAAACCTAATACAAATAAAGAGATAAAATTAGATTAATATTAAAGTATATAACATAGATTTTTGAATGAAAATAAATCAATAGTTTGCTAATAATACAGAATTTAATACGAGCTTGCAGGATTAGCAAGATTAAAATTACTGGATTTTTTTTTTTTTTTAAATCATGGATTTTAATCAAATGATTTTTTTTAAACAAAAATAGTCAAAAAATTCATATTTAAGTCAAAAATATTTTTTCATTTAGGATGTATAAATATGAAGATTTTGATTTTTTTAAAGTCTGATTTCATTGATATTGAAGGCTTTATGTAGAGAAATAATGATAGAAGGTAATGTTAAATTATTATTTGATGTTCAAAATAAAAATAATTTTTTTAAAAAAGATTTTAAGTAATTTATTTAAAAGTAAAGTAGAAGATTTAAATTATAACTTTCCATTATCTGTATTTAAAATAATTTGTTATTTAAACAAATATATTTCAGTTATATCATTTTAGTTTTGATTATTCAAGTAAAAATATTTTTAAAACTCATTAAAATGTAGTTCGTGCATATAAATAATGAAGAAAGACTTGTTCTGTAATGTAGAATAACCTCAACTCAACAAATTTAATATCTTTCTATACCATGTTAAAGAATTTAAATCTATTTCTATCACATCTTTTACCTCCTCTGTAAACTATTTTAAACTAACATATTTTTTACTTAAAATTTTGTTTTATGTGAAGTTATTTGTATTTAACCCCAAAATTCAAATACTACCGTGATGCTTGTAGTAAACAGTATAGTTTCTTGTAGACCTCTTAGAAAACATTCAAGTACTACTGTGGCACTTGTAGTGAAAAGTAGAGCTTCTTGCATAGAAATTTTTTTTTGTTAACCTGAGAGAAAGCTTATTCTGATTTATCAATGCTCAAAGACCATTCAGTGATTGAGCATTTACTGAAATGTGATGCTAACTTTATAATATAAATGCAAATGTCAAAATGGTTGAGTTTTCTTATCGATTTCCAGTCAACTTGGTAAAACCTAATAAAATTTCTTTTTATGTAATTTGGAATTTTCTTCACTATCACTACAATAACAGTTACACTACAATAAAAATTAACTCGAAATACAAAGGAGTGTTTAGACATTTCTATGTAACAAAGGAAGGAGTTGTGATTTTTATAGTCATTTTTGCTGACAATAGAGAGGGATCCTATAATAGCCAAAAAAATGCTTATGTAACTTTTAAACGGGCCACAAAGTTTATTTTTGACTTACACATTGGCTCCCTTTTTTCAGTCGATTAAAGAGTTAAAAACCTGCAGTAGAGTACATTACAGAACAAAATAGAAGAAAGAAAGTTTTTCTTAGGATTGGATCAGTGGCGCCTCCACAGCAGTTATTAGTTCACGGGACTAGTTATGTGAAGTTGTGCATCACGTTCCATCTATGTTTCTTCATTTTCTCTTTGGATTTTAGAAATTTGAATGTTGATCTAAAGAGATTGCTTTATTCATTAAATTTCAATTTCTGTTAAAAAAAGGGAATCTCCATTTTAACGAAAACATAATAATTGAATTTCCTTAGTAATAATTTCATTTAGTTATTTTTTTCAGAAGAAGTACAAAGAAATTCAGGAAATAACTTTTTCATCTATCTGCATATTTGTAATTCAAAATATTGATCATAAGCTGAGTAAGAAAAATTAAATCTTAATAAATTTAAATATTTCAACTACAGAAAATCAGATTTTTAAGCAAAACAAATAATTTTTAAAAAAATAAAAATAAATTAGATCATGAGTTAACCTCAAAACTAATTAAAGTATACAGAATGCAGTTTAGTATTAGGGATGTTACGAATATTCGGCCACTATTCGGTATTTGGCCTAGCCGAATACTGAAGTTATTCGGCCGAATAATGAAGTATATGCTATTATTAATTATTTAGATTTGTGAAAGCCTTATTGTTGGCATCAAGGGGGACAAAAAATACATCAAGTTGTTAAATTTTTTTTAAAATATAGAAAGTTTAAAAAAGCAAATTTGTTAATATTTATTTAATTTTTAATTTAAAATTTGAAAATTATTTTATAACAAAATTAAAATTTCAAAAGTGAAACTTTTTAAAAAGTTCTTAATTTCTGACAAAAAAGAAAGTTAAGAATACATTTAACAGTAGTAAGTAATGAGTTCTTATCTTAAATAAAATAGCATAAAAATTACAAGTACAACTATAACTAAAATATGCTATTATTAATTATTTAGCTTTAAAAAAGCCATATTGCCTTGTTATTGGCATCAAGATATTTAAATTATTACAAAAAATAAATCAAGTTGTTAAAATTTTTTTAAATATACAAAGATTAAAAAAGCAATTTTGTTAATATTTATTTCCTTTTTAATTTGAAAATTACTTTAATTACAATCAAAAAAGAAATTTTTAAAAAGTAAGTATTCGGCCACCGAATATTCGGTATTTGGCTATTCGGCCCCATCACTATTCGTTACATCACTATTTAGTATTAAATGCACTTGAATCAAATTTATTCTAATTAAACATAATATAAAGTTCATACATATACTTTAGTTTCTCTTGCATCTTTAAATGCTTAACATATAACCTCATAAAACTTAGTGCAAATGAAATTATCATCCATAAAAAAATTGCAAAATTCTGATTCAATAAATGCTAATTATGTTTTGGTCAAAAAATTTTTCTATCAGCTAAAAATGGTAAATATTCCTTTTACAATTTACCTTTATTAAATCTGAAAAAATAAAATTGAGATTCTGTTGAAATGTTGCTTTATCAATAATTTATTACGAATTACATTTTTAGTACGTACAAGTTGAAAAACCTACTACACTTTTATGATTCAATTAAATCTTTAGCCAATGTATTGTTATTCACTAATATGAAGTTTTGAACCAATATACTAGTTGTTCTGTGGCAGAATTTTTTTAGGTTTCAGTAACATACCTTTCTAGTACTAATAATATCTTTCTGCAAGTTACTTTTAATAGTAACAAATATATATGTTACTAATTTAAAGTAACCAAAGTGTCAATGTATAGAAAAAGCATTTTTTTCCACTCAGATGAGCGAGAAAGGCATCGTTTGAATATAGTTTTGCAGAAAAAATAAAATCTTTCGAAAATTTCTGCAAAAAAGAAAACCAAAATTTTTTACTTCCCAAAGGAAAAATCTGTCTGCAAGAACTAGAACAAAATATAATATGTTTTTCATAACCACTCATAAAATTAAACACATTTCAGAAAAAATAGCTTAGCATTTTTATGAAAATCTTTGAAATTCTAAAACTAAAATTCTTTATCCTCATTATCAAAGGTAATGCATATTAACAAATTCACTATTGTTGTAATATACAAGATTACTTTTTTACAAATCAATAAAGAATACAGGAATGGAAATTATTTAAAACAAAGATGTGCAATCTGTATAGCTCAGGTCGTGAAGTGAAGTGACTTCTGATGGTTTAATATATGACTTTCAGTACACTAAAATAAACACAGCATATAACTAACTTAAAACCAGCTGTAACATGTATTTTGATGCAAGGGGTTACAACTGAGGAACATTATCAGTCCCCTCTTCAACTATAAAGCCTCCTTTCAGGGCGGGCCTAATTGAATTTAAGAACTTCTTATAATATGAAACTCTCATTGCTACCAATGAACTATTGCATTCTGAGTTGAATGTAGAATTTGAATATGAAATGGAGCTTATTTTACAGAATCTGATTGGTCAGCAGGAGGTATGATTATTTATTCTTCGAGAATAATTTTCAGATTCATTATTAAAAAGTAAATTTAGCATTAATTATGTAATAACCGAAATCATAATCAAGTACTTACACCTATTATTCGAGATGAAAATCTAAGCAAATGAAATAAAGAATTTGTCTAAGATTAAGATATTTATTCACAAAATGAATTCTTAAACATTTTTGATCAAAACAAGCAGTAGCAAATGCATAAAACCTGCATAAATGTAATTCAAGAACATATATATATAAATTTATGCACAAGAAGAATTTAAAGAATGATTACCTGTATAATTCTCTAAATGCAATGATGTACTGTTCCATATTTAATGCATTAACATCTTCGCAACATTTGGAAAATGCATCAAAAACTAATTGAATGTCAAATTGGTTTGGTGATACAGGTGAAGACTTTTTGATTTCATTAGAATCAACGTTTGCAGCCATTTTTAGTATTGCAAAATGTTTTGAAAGTTAAAATGTCTCGTCTAGAGCAACTAAATATTGCAAAAATTAATTTATACAGAGTTAACAGAGCAAATGAAAGTTATAAATCTACTTCTACATTTTTCAACTCTTCGCGACAAAGCCCTTTGTTTATTGATTTTCAGCATTTCTGCTTGTTCATTTCAGTTCTAAATTAGTCCTTCCTAAGCATTAATATTTTCTTTCGGTTAAGTTTTTTATGTTTACTTGCTTATATTTACTGTAATTTATAAAAAAGTAACCTATGTCAGAAATTTCCTTAACCCTTTGAAAATTAAATTTTGCTCAGTTACATAATTCATTATCATAACTACAACTTCAACTTTTAATTGACGTCGTGTTTGCGAAATGAAAGTAGGTAAAGGTGGCTATTACGTCATTGTATTTGCTATTTATTATTTTGTATAACTTAATTATTATGTGTTAAAAGGTAGGTCTTTAAACTCTAAAAAAATAATTTACATTTAAAAATATGTGAACAAAAATCTTTTCGTTACTCTACTTATGTTCACTCCGATTTTAATGTCTTCCATGATCGATTCTTTATATGCGTGTTTATATCTTGTTTATTTATTTGTCTAATATTAACCTTTGCCCTAATGTTATTTAAAAGATTTATTAGATAGTTGTCTGAGCATATTTTTATTGCTTGAATTATATTCTGTTTGAATAGCTGTGTAATTTCTTGTGAAATATGTGAGCAGTAAGAAAATTGTTTATTTTATTTTTCATTCTCTTTAATATTCTGCGATTTAACTCACTTGTGACGTATTTCAAAATAAATCGTAAAGAAAATAACATTATCAATTGAGTATAAACCATTTCTTTTCTGCATGATATGTTTTTGTTTGGGTGTATTAATTGCATCATGACAAAGTGTTGACAAAATTAACTTACTGCGTTTTAACAAAAATAAACTTGATCTAAGTACCTAACTAATTACTACCTTTGTACATGTGAAATTTTATTTGATTGATTGTCTTAATCATAAAAACATTAATGATAACTAAATTAATTATTAAAACTTTTAATTTTGAAAATTTTGGATACATGTTAAGATTTTTAGTATTTCATAAAATGTTGTGCTATTGTAAGTATATTTGGTTAATTTTGATTTTGATTTAAAGGAATTCATAATATATCGCGCAGAAATTTTGTAATTGCTTTATATAAAAAAAATTTTGGGTTGAAGTATAGAATTTGGGTCCTTGGTTTTACAGGTTCAGACCGGAACACGAAGTCCAATCCTGTCTTTTATGCAGTAGACATGAAATAATAATTCATCTCCAATATTACATTTTAATGTAATTAAAATGAACTAATACATGACATAAAAAAGCATATCTCGCCGACGATTGCGAGTGAGAAAAATATGTTTTTTAAATGAACAACAACTTGTGCGTGAATGTTTTTAACTTAACAAAACTACTGTTCACTTCAGTTCAAAGTTCGGTTAGAGAGGTTGAAGTATCATAGTCTCATTTCACAACTGCGTTTTATTGATGTTTTTCCTTTGCTAAAACTGTTTCTGATTACCATGATATTTGGTGCTCTCTTGTTTTCCAATGACGTCACTTTTGACGTCAATTTCTGCATTCGTTTATTCTCTAATCGACAAATGTAAAAATGGGCTCTGATTTTAAACTATCATCAATTTTTGTTTTAATATGCAACAACGAAGACTTCCATATCTATATCTGTGCCCAGGAAGTAGTTAAATTTTAACGACACCTGAGTTGTATCAATAGAGAAACTAAAATTAACATCACAGAAAGGTATACCTCATAACTACCTTCGGGAAACCACTGCTTATTTTATTTATTATTTTTTATAATTTTTTACGGTATTACTTGATTTCAGTGCCGACCATTTTTAAAACGATGCCAAGAATAACGCTAAGCTATAATTGTTTGTATTTAGTATTTGTAACTTCCATATCTCTGCACTTTCTTAGAGCAATTGTCTTGTCTTTCCCAAAGGATTTTTGCCTTATGAATTCCACGAGGTAAAACTTTAAAATAGGAGTGCACAACCTGTTGTTAATCGCATATTAAAAGCTTTTTATACAATTTTTAATAATCTCATTTTGATACAATTTTCTGTGGTATTTAATCGTCAATCCAAGTTATTCTTCCACCATTTTTTCGGCAGTTACAGCCATGTGTTCCAATATTTTAATACAATTAATACAGTATTCTGATATTTTAATACAGTGTGATTGCCACATGAAAAATTTAAGAAGTGTTGGAAAGCATAAATTTTTAAGGTGCTTACTGTTTGTAATTTTTTGTAACTTAGGTGATTTTTTCAGATAAAAAAATGAAAAAGAAATTTAAAATTCATAGAACCTCTGATAATTCAAGAAATATAAATATCTGAAATATAATACCAAATAAATATTGAATCTTATTTTATATTATAATGGTTTTATTTTAGTTTGAATTTGTTTTAAAATGGTTTTTTGTATTAAGTGACATGACAAAAAGCCCATTTCTTTCATCCACTTTTTATATTTTTTTTAAATGCATAAATTTTTATAAAGGGAATTTTTAAAGATATAAAGCATCGGTTTTTTTTTATTTTGAATTAATTTTACTATAACAGATAAGATGTTCTGCCAATCACACATCTAGCTATCATATGCCAGTTTGTTTAGCAAATGTGAAGTACTTCACATTTGCAAAATCTGCTACTTAGCAGAGCTTGCATTATCGAAGCAATATTAACTCATATGCAGATATGTATAATATATGTGAATACCATTTGCGGAATTAATTACTATAAAAAAAATAAAACTATCAAAATACCTTTATTCCAACACACAGGCCAATCTGGCAGTGACTGATAATTTTTTCTCTACTTCACGCTGTCATACTTCTCCTGTGTTTGCGCCATTGCGTTTGACTTTCACGGATGAATACATCAGAGTCCATGATGTGTTTCTCCAGCTTTTTTCAATTGACGAAAGAAAATCTTACCTTTTTAACTCAATTAAGTTATTCTTATTTTTTAACTCCCGTGGGAGAAAAAATGTTTTTATGCTTTTTCTTATGCAAATTTCCTATGCAAATGTAATTTAAAATGACATCTGCATGATTTAAAATCACACTTCGTGTACTCGAATATAAAATTACACATTGAGATTCATGTTCTAGTGATTTAAAATCACACATCTCAATTTAAGGTTATACAATGTGTTTCGTATTTTAATGATTTTTTAAATTTTTTTTATCAAATATTATAGTACCTTCTAAGTCTCCTGTTTTTTAACGTAGATTCCTGTATTTTACGACTGTCTGAATCAACTTTAATGTTAAGAAAAAATGTCTGAAATCAACTTTAACCTTTAACATTAAGAATCATTGATATTTAATCATGATAATTATTTTATGGTGATCCTAGTCAAATTTTAGTGGTCTTAGGCTGATATGTTATTAATGCTTAATTTTTTTCATTTTGATTTTTTGTATTTTTGCCTGCATTTTATATCAAGTGAAACTCATTCAAAAAATAATAACAATCTTTGTTAAATATTAAGTTAATGCTAGAATTAATGCTAAGTTAATGCTAATTAATTTTGCATTCAATTATATATTTATCCCTCTTGTACTTCTTTGCAGATTTCCAATCACTCTACTAACTCTGCTGAAAACTCCTTTTAGTGACACTGTTCGCTACCTCCTTACTTGGACTGTGTTGATATAAAACATTATGGGTATGTCAACTGACATGGCCCCGAGATTTTTATCTGTAAATCCATCAGGACAAATGACCTATGTTTTGGATGCCAATAATATTGGCCTTACTCAAGTTCAGTTAGCTGTTCCTGCTTCAGAAATAGTTTTGATCCAAGATGACAATAAATCCATTAATTTATGTGACAACTCTGTTCTTGTTGCTGATGTTCCTTCTGATAGTGTAAATTGGTTAGGGAATAATGTGATAGTCTTAGTTTCTCAACCTCAAGAATATGTTGTTGTTGAGCAGGAAGTGGTCGTTGATTCTAATGTTGCACAATCTTGGCAAGTAAATGGGGCCTCGATTTGTACAACCTCAACCTCACAATATGCCATAAAAGAAAGTCAGGAAGAAGAGGCTGGAGAATGTTTGGAAGAAGAAGTTTCAACATCAACTGTTGAAGATGCCAAATGCTGGTTTCGAGATTCCCTTATTACTACAGCAGCACTTTCAACTCTCACAACGTATGTCCAATCAAACGCAGGATCAAAAGTAGGCTGATTTATACCGAATTAAATACTTGGTGCATTGGTTGGAGCCCCATTTTGCATTTGTATTTAACCCTTTCTTTCTCTTCTCTATTAGCTTGATATGTTTTTTCTTTATTTGTTTGGTTTTTTGATTAATCTCCAGTTAAAGTTTGTCTGGTCTCCAGTTTAATTGGCTCTCGTGATCATAAGATGTTTAACATTATTAGTACTTTTCCATTTTAGAGGAGCGTTATAAAAAGTTGCCAAATGTTTAATTGTGGTAAGGTATTTAATAGCTTATTACTTCTGTAAGTCTAAACATCACTGGCACCAATAAAAGTTAATCTTTTTTTATGATCCTCCAATAGATTTGTGCCTGTTATTAATTAGAAGTGTTTTTTATTTTTGTTTTAGAATATTATTAATTTTAAGCTAATAAGTTATGCTTAATATTTTGATTGAAATTTTTGATATAATATTTGTTAACATTATTTTTACTGTCAACTCTAGTCTTATATTTTCTTTATTTAAGTATGTAAAATTTCAAAAGTATGATTTTTGAAAGTATGAATTAATGTATGTAGGATTTGTTGAAAATTTACTTATATAAGTTTTACAATTTAAACATCCCAAGCACTTTAATTTTTACTTGAAAATAAGATATGTTTTAGTGTTGTTCAGCTCTAATAGTTAATTTTGGACAATATTTTTTAAAAAAGTGTTATAGATTGCTTTGGTTTTTTGTTTCTTTCTTTGTTAAACTGCTAGGGATATATGGGTTAAGTTGCAGAAATAAGTAATAATAGATAATTTATCTATGACTAGATTTTTTTTTAAGATATAAAACTGGTTAAATTATGTTTTTTTACAGCTTTTATGAGTAAAACTTAAGTGAATGTTTCTTTTATATTTTATTTGAGGTTAACAAAGTTATTAAATGAAGAACATTTACTAATTTTGTTTAAAATTATTGTATGTGTGTATATAATATATATATATATGTATAAAATTGTATAGTCATTTTGTAGTTAAAAATTTATCTCTCCATAATCAAGTCTTAAATTATATTGAAGTTTTGTTGAATCTCGCTTTAACAAAATTCATAAAAGTACTAAAAAAAGTTACTTGTTTGAAATTCATTATGTTAGTAGCCATGATCTGTTTTAAAATTTAAAGCATCTATGTATTCTGTTACTTCGAGAGTCAGCTTTAAATTGTTAAAATATTTTCCCATGTGATATTGTATTTGTAACTAATACTTCTACATTTGATAAGAATCAATTTATATTTACATCTGTTAAAAACAAGCAGAAACTTATAGGCTTGATGTTTATTATTATTATTTTTTTCTTAACTTCGGGGCTCCTGTTAACACTGTGTGCCTTTGGTGCTAGTCTAAGCAAGATTTGCAAATTGTGTAAAGAAAAAAAGAGAAAAAAAACAGTGATTTCCTGTGATATGTTATATTCACTGAAATTGTATATTTTAAAGACAATTTTTCTGGCAAGTATATTTTTGTAAAGGTGCTGAAGAAGACAGAAAGTTGCCATTTATACTCATATAATTATTAGTATACTGTGACTTGTAAATTTAAGTAAATTTTTTTTTCTATTCCGCTTTGTTGTCTTTGCACTTTAGCTTCAGATTATGAATTTTTTTAAGTTTGAATTACAGTATATTTCTGAACATAAGTCAATTTTTTTTTTCTTCCAATTTTAGACAATCAGTAACTATTTGGATAGCAGTGATAAAGATATAAGTCATAAATTCTGCTAAAAAAATATCGGGAATGCATCCAGATGCACAGAAATTGCCCTCTAAAACTGAATTAATTTTTTTTTCTCCTATGTGCTCCACACTGTATCAACCAAGTATTTCTGATATTTTCAGTTAAAACATTATTCCTATTCATTGCTATTTTCATGGGCCAAATTATACAATATTCTGTTAATGTTTCTGGTGTACAGTGCACCAAAAAAAAAGGACCAGCATATTTTAAGTTATGAAATCGGGCAAAAAAAAGTACAGTCTCTTAACAAACATACCTTTTTTCTACGTATTCGGATTTATAACCCCCAAAATATAAGTCACAGTCTGGAAATATGGTCCCCATAGTTTGATCAGGCCCTTTAAAGTTACGGCCTTTTCAACCCTTTAAAGTTAATTTTACTTTTCACATATTTCACCATATCTCAAGAACTTTTAAAGCAAATTGAAAAATTTTTGAACACAATTATAAAATTAAATAAAAAGATTTTTAAATTCAATTTCACTCAAATTTTGTATTTTGACTTGTAAAATTAAATACTTTAAAGTGATGTAAAAAATTGCATACCCTACAATTCAAAATTTTTTTCAGCTGTTATTAAATAAAACAATAATAAATATTTACTAAAGTTTGTTTTTTGCATAGCATTATCTTTGGACAACTGAATTTTATATTGTGTGCAAAAATTTTTCAATTCATTTCAAAAGCTCTCGAGGTACGGTTAAATACGCAAAAAGTATCATTAACATTAAGGTGTCCAAACTTTGAATCGCTCTCCTGACTTAACTATGGGGGTCCAAAATTTAAATGTGCTGAAAAAAAAGGTATGTTTATTTAGAGAAAGTATGTTTTTGTGTCTGATTTTGTAACTTAAACTATCGTCTTAACTCGTTAATTAACATATTTTAGCTCGCCCACTCGTACCATTAAGATTGAGTCCTAGAACATGAAGATCCGATCATTAGTTCATAAGTTATTCCGGTTAGTCTTTTTTTTCTTCACGCTGTACATATTGCTTTTCTATGGGTCAAAAGGAAAATGTCCTTTTGTTTATCTTTCGAAAAAGTTCTAAAAATTCTTGACTTAGACACGGAAATATATACTACTTCAGAAATTAAGAAAACATTATTTTAATTATTTTGTATGAATTCTGCTTTCTTGATTTGCTAGTTTATTCATTTTATAAAGTGAGTTTTTTCTTTGCATTATAGTTTTTTGATTTAAAATTTGTTCATCATTATAAAATATATTTATCTTTTTTTTTATATCTTAAAACTGAAAGTATTTCATGTTATAGCTTATAAACTGCAAGCTAACCTATGCACCATGGTTATGTGTAGAGAATTTTTAAAAAAAAATAAGATTATAAGATATAGATTGAGTTGTGTTAATGAGTGAATGTTCATATGTCAGAGAAAATGTTTTTGATTGTTTGATGTAAAATCTTTTGTGTTTTTGGCATAAATGATACAAGTAAAACTGTTAATTACTGTTTTTTGTTCTCTTTTATGTGTTTATATTGCTAAATTAATCTAAAACCATGAAACCAAATCTAACTTATCACTAAAGGATTCACTTGCTATAATATATTATGGCCTCAATTATCCTAATTAAGACCAAACCTAGTTTGTATTATTGAAATATTCAAATTACAAGGGGAACATAATTTTTTTAATTCCTTAAAATAAAGGAAAATGATATTGAATGTAGCGAGAGAAAAAATATTTCTTGTAAGTTTGAATCATAGTATTGACAATATTTATTAAAAAAGAAATAAATAAAACTGGGTGCAAAAAGGAAAAAAATATCTATAATAAGTACTACTGTATTTTTTAAGCAATTAGGTTAACGACATTTTCACATAATTTAATATCTAAGCAAGTTCGAAATTATAAATCATATACTTGTACAATGTAATTCTTTTAAGAAAGTTTGCTTAGATTTTAAAGTAATCTTTCAAACAAAAATACTGAAGTTGTAATGAGACGTTTGCTGATTTTTTTTTTTCATTTTGTTTGTTAGAATAATTTGAAATACACATAGATAAGTAATTGTATTTCGTTTGATTTATAATTCTATGATCTTAGATTCTAGATAGTAAAGGGTTCATAGTTACCTTGAATTTTAGCTTTTTATCCTAATTTTTGCGTGTGTTCAGAACATCTTAATGATTGAATATTTTAAAATAATAAATTGTAAGAATTGAAAGATTGTTTGGTTTTATGATATTTCAAGTTATTAGTCGTGTTTTAGATTTTAGGTCATCCTAAGAAAAAGAAATTCAGCATTTTAGTTGTCAAATCCTTTTTTTTTTTTGGCGGGTCAGATAGCTAATTGTAAAAAGGTGGTTTAAAATAAACTTATTAACATTTTTGAGTGGAAATTTTTCCCCTATTATACGACAAATTGCAGCAAAAACATTTTCATTCCTTTTTCTTTTTTACTTCATTCATTGCAAAACTAAAAGTATTTTTAAATATCTTGTTTTCTTCAAGTACTGTTTTTTTTTAATATTTTGTTGATCTTTGTTTCCAAATTATCATATATTTCGTTTTTTTATAATTTGTTTATTTTTGTATTCATTTTTACTTTGGTATGTCTAGAATTATCAATTTTCTTTTAAATATATTTAGATCTTATAATGAAGAATCTATTTCTGAAGTCAAGAAAATTCTTACTGCATGCACGAAATAACACCATTTTTTGAAATTCCTTTCAGATCAGCTTATTCCTATCTTAATCTTGTTTGAAAATGTTGAGTGTTACACTAGTTTTTTTTCCTTTTAAGTTGCAGATAATTAAAGAAATGTTTTTAGACAAAATTTTCAAAGAAAAAATTAAAAAAAATTTTTAGCTCATCGTTTCCTCTTCTTAATTAAAAAAAAAAGGTTTCGTGTGTGTAATGTATCAAAAAATTTCCAGATTCTTTGTTTTCTTTTTTTTTTGTGTGTGTAAAATGTCCTGATTTTTATTTTGAACTACTAGTAAGAATCTGTAACTGTCCCTGTGAGAGCATCATATCCTTCTGGAAGTAATCTGAAATCAATTCGTAGGAAGTGATTTATTGTTAATTAAAAGCTCAGTATTATTAATAGTCCCAATTATTTCCAATATTATTAACAGCTCAATATTTTTTCAAAATTTAATTGAAATTATTGTATAATATCACCTTGCAAATTTAACAACTGAAACTCATTTATCAAAAATTTATGCGTATTAAAATACATACTTAAATACACATGAACTTTATTTGGCCTGTTAAGGTTAATTGCTTAGTCCATAGATTCTTAAGCTGTGGTTGCTAATTACCTCTGATGGTGCTAGTTACTCTTATTTGTCGAACTCAATTTTATGTTTTAAAACTTTGATCGAAGTTTCTTCCTTGATATATAAATTATGTTAGTAAAAGCATGCCGAGCATAAATGCTTGACAAAGTTTGTATTGTAAAATTACATAGGTCTCTGTTCAAAGAAAATCCAAATAGATGTTCCTTATCTCAAATAAAGTCAACAGTAGAATTGTAAATGTATAAAATCTGCTAGTATGTTGAAATCTGTGCAACTTGCAATGCTTGTAAATAGCTTGAGAGTCGTGAAACTTAGAATTTTCAAAATGCTACTATCTTGTTACAATTGTTCTAAAAAAATTTTATGGAAAAACTAATTAGTTTTTTTTTTCTTTAAGGAGTGCGGTTGAAGCTTTTGTATCCATGCAAAATTACTATTTATAGTTCAGTAAGGAATTTTTTTTTAACGTTAGCAATTTTGAAAGTGTTATATCAAGAGATTACTTTTTTTTTTCATTAGTAGGTATGTAAAGTTAAAGGAAAATAATGTGCTTATTGCTACAAAATGGTTACTAATGTGTTACAAAAATGGTTTTAAACTGAAATATTTTCAATATTAGCGTTTTTCGAAGAGGAATCTAGTTATAAACTTTTATCCTACAAATAGCAGCAGTTCATGATCTTCCATAATAATTTTTTAAAAAAAAGCTAGGAAAGAGAAAAAACTTATTTTTTTACTGTAAGTATGTCATGAATCAAAAGTTTCTAGTGTCTACATTAAATACAAGTTGTAAATAATTGTTCAAAGCTCTGGTGTCAAGTTAAAGAAGATAAAATTCGATGATCAGCAAATTACAATAGTGTAAATATTTTCTTAGAAGAAGTCCTTTGAATGCAAAAAAATATATATGTCCAATACATAGTTACAGCATTTTATATTCAAATAATTATATATCTGTGGCCCAATATAAAAGAAAGCAAATGTTAGTGTTATTTTTCCAGAAATAATGCAGTTGTTACATTTTTGAGTATATTAACTATTTTCCTTAAACATTGACATCAGTTTTCCTGGCACTAAGCCTCAAAAAGAATAATCACTTCTTAAATAAGTGGTGAACTCCCAAAATTAATTTTTAAGTAAGTTAAATATTTGCTTCACTACCAATTTTAAACACTTACAATAAAATTAACATGTTTCCAGAGGTGTAATAACACCAGCGTGGTGCAGGGGGCGTACAATATTTGAACACCTAATGATTTATAATATTTTTTATTTACTTTAAAAAAAATGTGTGCAATTATACAATGTTTTTTCTTAATTTAGTCCTTTTTCTAAATTCCGTCTTCCCAATGTAATTAATTTAAATTCATTAAAAAAATGATTATAAATACCTGAAAGTCTCTTCATGTAGTGTTTTTTGTTTCATATTATAATTTTTAAAAAAAAAATTTGTTCCGGCAAAGATAGGACGCATTTATAAACCTTGCAGTGGTGCACACCTAAATCTACATACACTTTGGTTGTTGGACTCTGCAGATGAGGACGAAGTAGAATCCATTGTAGAGAGGGATCCGTATGGCAACACTGATAAGGTTAATGAATCTGATACAAATATGTTTTGGAATCATTAAATGTGTAGCTTTATGGTATGTTTTGAAATACTCTTGAATTTTATATCTTGACTTTTCTTATCTTTTACAGTAATTTAAAATATTGTTTCCAAAAAAAAAACTTTGTAGGTGAAGAAAATATGAGAGAAAAATTCGAAATTAATTGCATATAACATATTAAAAATAGTTTTTGAAAGGGATAATTTATAAAGGTAAATTGATACAGTTATTAGTGACCATCTCATTGTTTATAATGCACCAATACATCACGATCAACCAATGTTCGACACAATATTAACGTTGTATAAGTCAACCCCCCTGTTTTCTGAAAATTTTGGGAGTTTGATAAGTTTACTTATACACCAGTATATATTTTTTATACTTTTGTAATTGATTGCTTCTTGTAGGATAGAAGTAAGGCAACTCTTGAGTTATAAATATTTTATTTTACAATGACTAAAATTGATCACATATAATCCTTTACACAAAAACTTAGTTCCAAGTATTTATGTATACATAAAAGTAAGTATATATGCAATAATAATGCTAAGTTATGAGCAGACACTGGTTACAGTTTACTCCTTTCATATATTATTATTTATATTAGTATATTAAGTACCACATGACCAGCATACGGTAAAATTGTTTATATTCAAAAACTTTTTTTTAAACACTATATCATGTATAACATGAATAATTCAATCTGATACAGACTAAATCATAATGTCCCAAAATGGGAGTAAGTCGTACATTTCTCTACACAATCTGACACAACAGTAAATTAGTACAATATTAATATATATATACTAGTTTTAAAGCCTATTTTTATGTATAAATTAAAAATACTTCCCAAGCCGAAATATCATTAATTGAGGTACCTGAAATTAATTTTTGAATATGAAAACTATTCTATAAAAAGCTATCTATAAAATTATTACTTCAACCATACTTAAAATTGCACCTTACTTTGCTCTGCAACAAGTCTAAATTCACATACTGGTAGAAATGTTTCATGCAATAAGTAATTATGTTGTCAGAAACAGCTGATTAACTTATTATTCTATCACAGATTTTTATGATAATTTATTTAGTGACTAATTTAAAGGCTTTCAAAATTATAAAGTGAAGTATTTTAACAGCAATATTGATTCAGACAAAGTAATTTTTATAAGAATTTACCAATTAATCACCTGTATAAAAAAAAAAATTCTGAGTTTTAAGTCTTAACTAAAAAAAAATATATTAACTGCTAATAGTAATAACAACATTTATACTTTTGTTTATCGCTGGTATCAATTTGAGTAAATATTTTTATAAAAACATACAATTTCTTTAAAAAAAAAAATTACAATTAATGTTTATAGTGCTGAAAACAAAGAGCACAAATTAAAATATTAGAAAGTGGATATTTGGTTCAAAACTAAGAACGGTGAACAAGTACTAATATCCGTGCTGACACAAAATATTAAGGGAAATGCTGAGATATTACACAGAATCAATTGGATAAAACTGGAAGTGTGGAATAAGTTGAGTTAATAAAGTTGTAATAATAAAATAAGGTTGAGGAGAGTAACAAGACTAATTATTGATAATTTTCCAAATCAATTCAAATTTTTGTCAATTCAATTGACTCAAGTCCTGGGACTGGTAATGAAACTTACTAATGCTATTGAAATAGCTGTCTTCAATATTTATTTCTGTTTTGTTAACATTGTTTTGTGTTTTTGTTTAATCACAAAAATTATCATTTTTCCATGGTGTAGATCCATAACACTGTTCCAAAAGAAATATGGATGGTGTTTTCAATACAATGTAAGCAAAAACAAATCTCGAGCTCTTCACCTTCGCGACTTCCGGTTACTGCTTAGTTCATGAGGATATTTTCAAACAGATAACTTTGTTTCATTCAAATAATATAATTTCTGAATTCAAATCTGCTACACTTTATATTAAGTAATTCTGATGAATTGCAAGTGAAAATTTGTTTTAGTTATTTATATTGTTAAAAAAGGTGACATGGTTGCTACAATTTTTTTTTTTTATAACCGTCGTTGAACAGCCGACCCAATTTTTGGGTTTACGACTACTAATGTTCATCTCCGTAGCCTTGTAATTTTGAACCCAATCCAGAAGACAAGGAAACTTCTGGATAAAGTATTGGGAGAAATTTGCCTTCGTGGAGGACTTTCTGATGGAACTAACCCGCATTTGCGTTACATGGAGAGGAAGAGGGAACCTCTCACCCATGATCCGTCTACCACTGAGGATATTTCACGTCAGCACTGTGGTCGGTGAAACCGGATGCGGAATTCTTATCGACCAGCCATCACCGGAATCGAACCCCGGTTCACCTCATTGGTAGGCGAACGCTCTATCCCCTGAACCATCGCGGCTCTGGTTGCTATACTTAGAAAAAACTAGCTTTTTTGTTCTGATGTGGCTTCTTTTGACACGTTATTACTATTTATTCTTGTAGCAAGCAGTGCACGGTTAGCATTTATTTAGTACGAGACAAAGTTTATTTTGAAAATTACTATTTAGATTGCAATTTCTAAATTATTGTATTGTTGACAAAGTAATAAGTATTTTATAACGATTCTTATTATAATATTAATTTTAAGTTTTTACTACTATCTTTTCACCATTTATATTATTATATATTGTTTGTCTACAGTAAGAACTCCCCATGCCATTTGTCTGGACCTGTGATGGTGACTATGATAACGAGGTATAACTATTTTAAGTAGGGGTATGGAGTCATTAATTAGATCAGGTTTTAGCTCGGGACGGCGAGAGAAGGGGAAGCTACCCTCCTGAAATGCACTATTCTTGTTTCCGTAGCAGCAGACGTCCTCAGGCTTTGTGGCGGGGGGGGGGGGGGNGGTGGGGGGGGGGGGTCTTACCGTAGACAAACTATAACTGCATGTACTGTATTCACTATTTATTTGCTGTATACACAACCCGTTCATTGTTAGCAAAAGCCTCAAAATACATCGGATTCAGTAACACGGAAATACAGGCAATAAAGAGTCTGCTGTGTTACCTAGTGTAGAAAGCAACATGCATACATTCAATTAGCATACAAATTAAACAGTAACCATTTCAAGATAAAGTATAAAATTTATAACAAAAGAGGTCCTAAAATTGTTTTCCTCTACTCATTTTCATAAATAAAAACCTTATTTTACTAAAAATACTTAACTGTTTTAACTCCAATTTTGTCTAAAGAAACATTAACTTAAAAACAGTTCACAAGGATAATGGAAAAAATAGCTGTCTGGCAGTTGTTAAAGTTTTACTACCTTTAATACAGCTTTACCCCATAGTCATTGTTAGCTGCAGTACTTCTTGACAACATATAATGACTCATAAACTGTATATATTGTCTTAAATTAGGACACCTAATGGGAAAAGAAAAATCCTACCCAAAACTAACTTGGAGATAGATAATAAAAAAAGAGAAATCTTTTAGGGAAACTAGCTGGGGTAACAGAACAAAGAGTATGGTAAACCAAACTTTTAACCTCCTCTGGTACTTATGCATAAAGAAAACTGAAGTTCTAAGTTTATCCAAAATTCTCCATGAAGAAAATTTTTTAAATAATTAATATTGAAATCAACTTGTAAAAAATGCATGCAACATGACAAAACTAATATAGTTTTATTATGGTGCATATAGTGAAGGCTAAAATCCAGTTGTAATCTTATTTAGGTAGGTCAGCCTTTTTGCTGCTAAAGATCAGGATATAGTGTTTATGAAATCAAATTGGATTTGATCATTTTAAGAACTAAATGTTACATTATAAGATGCAAGTTCCATTGCATTAACTTGGACATAAGTACTGTTTCTAGTAGATTCTACTGGTCCCGATCCTGTCAGAGTTGTTTTGTATACTGAGGAGAGTTGCACATTTTTTAAATCAATTTTCAGTACGCTTTCTTGTGTGTATGAACAGGACTGATTGATCAAAGTCTTGATCCGACAACTGATCCCCTTATTGTGTAAAATCAAGAGACTGTTATTGGAAGGAATTTCGAATTCATCATATGCTGGAAGCGTTCTCAAATTGAAAAGTTCTACGTTGCATGGGAAAGGAGATTGTAAAAATTCTACTTTAGATTTTAAAATTCTTTGCTCAAAACTATGAGTAGCTATGACAACTGGTGGATATGCCATGTATGAAAAAATTAAATGAGAATTAAGTGATAAAGAAGGTACTTCATCAGCTGGCTTCATTCCTTCTAAAAGCAGCCAGAATTGGGAAATAGTAGGCTTATTATCCATCACACCTTCACCAAGTCCCCTATTATCATCACCCCGCAATCTGCGATCTAGCATCACTTCCATAAGACCAGGATTCACACTGGCTACACCATGAGCATGTGACAAAAGCATTGTCAATCGAGATTGTTCATCTTCGATGTACATAGCTGATGTAGCTGGATAATAGTTAGCCTCAAGTGGCAGGTAGCCTAAAGTCTTACGCTTCAACATTTGAAAACCATTAACATCCGTATAGAAAATGTTCCCACTTTTGATGTCAGAAGTCACGCGAAAAACTAATTCTAAATTAACATCAAAGAGTTGAGCAATATCAGACAAGACATCAAGTTCAACACCATTATTTAACAAGCTTGAAGTGTGGTAAACTCGTTGTGTAATTGTGACAACATTAGAATAAATTGCACTGATTTCTGAACAGATTGGGCCTTTAACAATGCGTATAATTGGAAATCTACCAGAGATATTTTGCACTGGTTCATTCGTCAAGGGATGAAATAAGTAAGCACCACTTCTGAATTCTTCAGATTTGTATGCCATCAAATTCAAGGCAACTTTGTTTATTATATTATGTTCTTTCAATTCAATACTCTGAAGCAAACCACTTTGCTTTGAAAATCTTGCTATAATGAATGGATTTGTAAGCTCAATGTCAACATCTGTGGGACTCTGAAATGAAAATATGGAGTTATGTGGTTGTTTTGCAAACGCATCGTTCAAGTTGATAGACACCTGAGATCTCGGCCGAGGAGACTTTTCAGTTGGAAGTATTGTGAATGTTGTAAGTGACAACGGTGTCAATTCTGACAAAAAGAGCAGTTCATAAACATCTCCTAGCACTGAAACAGAACCGTTCCAAGCCGGATTTATTTGAATAGGCACTTCTTCATCATCTGGTCCCAATACTTTCACAAAAGGATTTCTAATCCTTAGCCTAATAGGCTCCGTTACTGACTGAGCTTTTGAGTTAAAGATTGCCACTTTCCTGCCTTGAGGTGGTATGCTAAGAGGTACTTTCTCTGGCAACTTGTCAAATTGTGTTTGATCCAGATCAGGATAGAGATACGATGTAAGAGGATGGGCTGGACGAAGATCCACCGACCGTTTCACAGCTTCTTCAGAGAGTACATACAAAGCAGCATGTGCAATTATGCCTTTTGATTCTCTAATAGCCCGAAAGAGTCGAACACCATAATCTGCCATCACTGCCTCTTTTGATGTTCCAGTTATAGCGTCATGATGTTGAAATAAACCAAGACTATCTCTTGCTTGAGTTAAATAAGCATAATCTTGATCTAATCTTTTCAATAAATGTAATAATTTATTTTGAGTAACATAGGCTCGAGATAATGAATAGAGAATTTCAGCACTTCTCAACCAATGTTGAAGATCTCGGCACATATGTTTCCAATAAGGACGCGTGGTATAATAGCCACTCCAATAAGACGGATGACCTTCTCCATAAATATCTCCATAAACATGAAAATCACCAGTTAAAGTAGGAATGTGATCGTAACCAATAAAATGCATGCGTTTATGAACAGCATTGAAAAAATCTTTCAGCGTTCCAAATCTAACATGTGCATTCCAGTCACTTCTTGAATTTATATATTCAATAATTTTTGCATAGTTTTCATATTGTTGGTCCCATTCTTCGTCATGATTGTAGCGAAAATCATCTCCCAAAGGTACCAATGCAACATTATGAGGGAATAAAGAGCCTATTCTTCCATACTGACCCAAAAGAAGCTCAGCTTTTTCCGCTACCTTTTCTGGTGTAATTGGCGAGGCACGACTCTCGGAATATTCACCAGGAATGCGCCGAAAATCAAACTGTAAACAAACATCAGGATCGGGACCACAGGAATGCTTAATGCTGTAGAGATCAAATGGCATCATTTGGCACAAGATATCAGCAGAATGGTTATTTGAAGACAGATTATCAAACTCTTGGCGCCACCAAAAATCTAGCTGTTGTTTTTCAGCTAAGTATGCCTTCCATGCATAATGAGTTCGCTGTATAACCATGTTATGTAGACCAGAGGCTCGTAATATGTATGGAACTGTAGCGGAATGTCCGAATGAATCGACAGACCAAGCTGTGCGAGGAACAATGCCAAGATTAGTTTTCATCCATTGATGACCTTCTATCATTTGGTCTATCATACCATAATAATGAGCTGGGCCTTCATCAGTCATCACCCATCCACCAGTCAGAATCTCAAGTTGTCCATTTCTTAAAAATTCCCGCACTTGCTCCCGAATCTGCGGACGATTTTTTAAGCTGTAAGTAAATAACATAATTAATTGAAAGTTTTCAATTGCAACAAAGGAACATAGAAAACAAACTTATCTATACAGAGAGTTTTTCTTCTTGACTAGTAAAGTGCAATTCAGAGTTTGTTGGCTGTTAAACAGAACTAATTTCGATACAATCAAGGCACCCAATCTTACCCCACTGTCAAATGTAACAAAACTCATATACTTGCTTTTTAGGTTGAAAATAAAAAAATTTTAGAAAAAATATTGGACTTACTGGTTTTTCGAACTCAAATTATTTCATTTTTTTCAACCTTATTGGGTATTTTTAATTAAGGTCTCTTAACATTTAACTAATTTTTCCAGATTAATAAAATTTCCTGTTCGACGGCCACCCGGCAGTTAGGTTCTCAGGTTTATCATAGTTAACATATTCCAACACAGTTGAGCAGATACAATTTATCATTCATATTATTTATACAGCTTATTATTCCGATACAGTGTATATTAACATATTCCGATACAGTTGAGCATATAAAAAAGAAGAAAATCGCGTATATTTCTGCACTAACCTATTACTTTAAAACTTGAAGAAATCTAGAATTATACTTAAACTTACAATAGTAAGTTTAAACTATTAAACAAGACAAAGAAATAGTACTCGTATCTCAAAAACTAAAAAGCGAAATTTAAAAAAAAAAACATTTAATTGTTTTAATACTGTTAAAATGTTATGTTATTACTCTACAGGTGTAATAATCAGTCAGTACAGTGACAAATTATTATTTTTTTTAAAAAAAAGCGATTTGCAGAAATTTACTTTACTTTATTAAAAATTTTATAAAACTTATATAATGTGCTTTTATGTATGACAGATAGATTTTCCTTTTATTCCAAGAAAAAACAATGCACAATTACAGATCATCATTTTTTTTATAAGAAGCTTAAACAAGCTGTTTAAATGAAAATTTCTAGAAACTACTTCAATGAAATGTTTGCACCTAATTTTTAGGAAGATGTTAGCTTTATTCCTAGAAAAACAGCATAAAAGTTTTTAATGTGTAATATGTTATTTAAATTTCGTCAATGTGATAAAAATTTCTTCGAGTTATAAAATTATTTCAAAAATCGAAGATTGATTTTCAGTAATGCTTTTGAAGTGAAATTTAAGAAACATTAACCACATACAGACATCCTCTCGACATGATCACAAGAAAAATAGTGGTTTCTAATATTGTATTAATATTGGCCAAAGAAAAATATATAAATATAATAGTGTGAGGAGCATCAAAAAAAAAAAAAAAAAAANAAAAAAAAAAAAAAAAAAAAAAAAAAAAAAAAAAAAAAAAAAAGAGACCGATTCCTAAACATAATTTAATCAAGTAAAAATATCACAAAAATTCAAAATAAAATACAAATAGAAACATATAAAGCAGGAAAAGAGAAAAATGTAATGTACAGTGCAGAGAAAAAAACGCACCAGCCTGAATAACTTTTGAATAGATTTTTCACGTACTTGGACTCAATCTTAAAGGTTCGAGTGAGAAACCTTAAATATGCTAATTATTTTGTACAGACGATATTTTGGGTTACGAAATCGGACAGAAAAAACGTATTTTCTCTGAATATACTACCTTTTTTACAACGGATTTAGATTTTTGATCCTCAAAATAGAGGGGATAGCCACAATCTGGGAAATATGGTCCCAATAGTTTGGACCCAGGACCGGATTACCCATTAGGCCATGGCCTGGGGCCCCCAATGATTAGGGGCCCCCTTAAAATGGATTTTTTGAAGATAAATTTTAAAAAATGAAGAAAAACAATGATTTAAAAAAAATCAATTTCAAGTATATATTAATAAAATACGATAATTGTTTTTACATAATACGATAATTTTTGTAAAGTGTTAATAAATTTCAAATTTTTTCAAAATGTTATGATTATTTTTTAGTTCTAATTTTACAAAACAAAGTAAAATTTACTTTACTTTAAATATCTTTTCTTAAATGAAAATAAAAACAAATACTTTTATATTTGAATAAATAAAAAATATACGAGAAAAAAAAATTTTAATCTAAGGGCCCCAAAAATTTGAATGGCCTAGGGCCCCGCAAACGCTTAATACGGCACTGTTTGGACCCCTTAAAGGTCATTTTACATTTTTGCGTATTTCGCTATATCTCAAATTCTCTTTGAAGTTTTCTCTTTTCTTTCATTATATATTTATATATATAGAGAGAGAGAAACATAATAGAATTAAAAACACAATAAAAAAAATAATGGAATAAACAAAAGGTTCTCTTCAGAATGCATCCCTTTACGACAGTGGCATTTCAAAATAAATAATTATCCTACGAGTCTATGCAACTTGTTTCCATTTGTTTTAAGTCCTTTTGAGTGTTTTGTTCATTATTAACTGCATGGAATGCGCAGCTGAGTATATTATATTTCACAAATTATGTCAAATTTTATTCTTATACTATTAGTTTTAGAGATGTTTTAAAACAAATTTAAATTTGAGTAAAAGAGAAAATTTAAAAAAATAAATATGTTTTCTTTCTCCCTACAAAAAAATCTTGCTTATCATTGCATATAGTTAAGTACTTAGCGAACAAAGAGCTCACGCATTCTTTGGCCAAGGTTAAGTATAGCATACAATAATAATATGCAAACGAAATTCGCTGGTTATAAGATAATGGTTCAGCTCTAAGACATTCACATGTAAATGAATAACCGTTTATGACTTAATTACCTGTTCCACCACCTGGAAAAGAATGATATTTCCGACCAAACGAAAGTCATATCTCTGTATTTAGCCAATTTGTCAGCCATATTATTTAGAATGTGAGCAGTAAAAGCCATGAAGTATCCATCAAACGTTTTAAGCCATCCAGGATCATTATGGGAATGAGGGATGATTATAACCTGAAAACGAAAATTAAAATTAATAATGATGCAGTCTTAATTTAAAAAAAATACGTAATTAAACATATATTCAAATGCATGGACCTGTTAAAAGAATATATAGATGTGGATTATTGTCAAAGTAATAATTTGTGATTATTAAGTGTTAGACCAGAAATTTTAAATTTTCAGTTAGTGGCCAGTAAACTACAATAACTTAGAAGCCACTTTTTCCTCTAACCTAAAGAGTCGGTCACCGATATCGATGTGTCCTTTTTATTTAATAACCACTTTTTGCAGATTTTTTATTTTTTTAACTAATTATATTTAAAAAAAAATCATATTATACACAATTTTCGGCTACAAAAAGTTAATTCAATAAAAAAATAACTCCTTCATTGTCCGCGTTGCATCTCATTCGTTCAATGTTCTCATTCGTCAGAGTACGCGTATTTTGCCGATTTGTAATTTGGGATTACCCATGCAAAATGTGAAGTTTAATGACTTCATTTTTTCGGTACATTTTCGGCAATAAATACAAAACGCGATTTCCAACTTTGCCGATAACATATCAATAAAAAACAATAATTAGAAATAAATTTAAAAATTAAATGCATTGATCAGTAAATTAAATCAAAATACTTTCTTTCTTTAAGTTAGAATATCTATACCTTTGGGGAAAAAAAGTAATAATAACAAAAATTTATAACTTCATATTTTTTGGAAATGTTCCAAAAAAAAAGAAACTTAATGCCATTTTAAGGAAGATAGAGTGCCCTCTAAATCTAAAAAGAATGAGCAACACAAAGTACTGAAAGGATTGAAGAAACTGAAAATACGAACGAAAAACTAAAACAACGTCCTAATGCGAATTGTACGACTTACTACAATAGAGATCGTGCGTTTTATATCGTTAAGTCGGCACTTACTGCGTCCATTAAAATGCTCTATAATAGTTAACATCACGCGAAGGTGCTTATCGCTATGATCTTACACATTTGTCAGCCATTATCAAGTGTATTTTCTTACCTTTGAATTATTTATAACATAATAAACTACAGATCAAGCATAAAAGTTTTGTTATATTGAGTTTATTTCGCATTCGTTAAAATAAAAAGAAATCAGATTAAATTAACGCAATTAATTTTCGGACACAATTTTGAGGATTGAAGGAATTTTTTTCTCTTCGTTTTTTAGTTCGAATACTATTCGTTCAATTTCGCTATCATTTTAGATTTTATCAGTTAGAGCTTCTTAGTTTTAAAAAGATGGAAAAAATAAACATTATTATAAAGTTTATGCAATTATAATTAAATAATAAATTTAATTAGTATTTCCTACATAAAATTACATTAAAAAAAAAAACAAGTTTTATTAATGATTTCTTTCAATAAAATTTCGGAATATGCTAAAAAACATAGATATGGTGCAGAAATATGCTAAAAGACATAAATTTTCCGCTAAAAGTAAAATTAAGGATCTTCTGGCTATAAATTTCCGAGCCATATCTATAAATAGATTGCGACTAATCATTTTATAGAATAACTGTCGTTGAACAACCAACGCAATTTTGAGTTTACAACTACCAAATGTTCAACTCCGTAGCCTTGTAATTTTGAGTTTACAACTACCAATGTTCAACTCCGTAGCCTTGTAATTTTGAACTCTTTTAGTATATTTGTAATTTTTTTTTTAAAGTTCAATTTAATAACAACCATTGCACAACTTACTTTTATTCAAACATACTCCACATTTTACTATATTTAATTTCATAATAGAAAACAAAAAATTGTGCCCGTGAAGAAAAAATGTAACTAAATAAAAATGGTCAGAATTTGTCATTAATGAAAGGCTGTGAATTTAGAAAATTTATGGCTTGAAGTTCATGTCGTCATGCTTTCTCGATCTCTACTCACATCGACGGTGATGCATAGCAGCAGATAAAAAATTGGTCTAAACATCAATCTATTGAGTTGATAAAAATTTTAAGAAAATTTTCACGCTCTGGCTGGCAAGGGAAAAAGGTCATCGGCATCATGTCTAATCGAAACATAGCACATGAGAACTTAACTACCCACGAACGAATAGTTAAATTAATCACCAGAAAAACATAAAATAACATAAATATTTAAAACATTACGTTTTTCAAATAGATTAAAAAGGAAGGAAGGGCAATTAATTTTAGTTATTTTTTCAGACTTGAATAAATATTTTAATTTATCACCAAAAAAAAAAAAAAAAAAAAAAAAAAAAAAAAAAAAAAAAAAAAAAAAAAAAAANAAGAAGTTAAAAAAAAAACATAAAATAAAATAAATGTTCGCAGTTCGAAAAATTACGTTTTTCTATTGGATGAAAAAGAAGAAAACAATTTATTTTTGTCAGGCTTGACACGAAAATCCACCAAATAAATTCCTCGCCAAAACGCAAAATAAAGAATTAAAAAATAACGCTTTTTAAGTAGACATAAAAAAAAAAAGAAAAATCATGTATTTTTTTTTTTCTTTTCAGATATGAATTAAAATACAGCCGAATAATTAAATCCCTCACCAGAAAAACATTAAAATTTAAAAGATTACGTTTTTCGGACTAAAATGGAGAAAACAATTTAACTTTTTTAAACTTTTAAAACGCAATACCACCGAATATTTTAAATTTTTAAATAAATATGAAAAAATGTTTTTCCAAGTAGACTAAAATTTTATTTTAGAAATTCTAGAGAAGGAAAATTTTATTCTTGTCCGACCTAAAACGAAAAATTTAAGGCGCATCGCATTCGTATTTCATAATTAACTTCTTCGGTAACCATAGAAAATGAAATTAAACGTTAAATTATTAATTTCATTACAAAAAAAAAAAAAATGAATGTTCGCACAAATCAATTCGTTCTTATTCTTTCCATCTCATAGAATTAAAACTTTCTCATTAACAAACAAGTCCCACGCAAAAATAGAAACATATTATTTCATTGTGGTACTTAAATGTGCCCCAGTAAACCAGTTTAGAGCACTCCTCAAATTATTAAAGATACGGTCAAGTTAAAAAAAAAAAAAAAGCGTTCAGATGACCTCGTTAAGATGAGGACGGTGAATGATCAACATCTGCCCTAATTAAATAGGTGAAATACATATATATATAGAGGTATATATGAATGAAATTGGGTAGTTACATGCTTTTGATCAAAACAATTGATCTTCCCGACTTCAGTTCGTGACCGCACATAGAACGAACCCGTTCATCAAAGAATTCAGACCAATCCGATAGGGTTCGCAGAATTAGTCACGAAATTGATTATCCTATTCTTGATGGTCATACTTAGATAACAATACAGACTTTATTTACATGCATTAAGAATCTCTCTGAAATAGTGGTTTCCAAATGTTGATCCACAGAAAAATCCTAGATTTCAGCTGGTTCCAAGAGTTAAGACTTAGAACCCTTTCATTTTATTTGGATATTAAACATTATTTAATTTTTCACTTGACTTATTATTATTTTTTTTTTAAAATAGTTCTTCCAATAACAGTATATTGGATTGACTATGAAAATAGGTATGCAAGTTTGATTAAAACTGCATTAGTATTTCTCATCACGCTTTTCATATCAAAATAAAATTACTAAACTCGTTAAAAAAGAAATATGTTTCTTTATTAACAACGTAGATAGTTCTTTTTATTTTTCATTTTCAAAGAAAACGTTCGATTTGGCTTATTTTATTCATTTCCAGCTTATATAAATGCAAAAAAATTATATTAATAATTAGACTAGATATAGTTGCGGGTATGCGAATTTAGCTGTCGGATATAAAAACCCAATTAAAAATTATTTCGAATGAAACGAGGAAAAATTTCATTCCTCTTATAAAATATTTTCAAAATAAAGTCTTGGGTTAGTACGTTCACAGTTGTCGTTATTTATATATATTTGTAAATTCGGGGTTCCGCCTAAAGAAGGTTGATTTTTTTGGGGGGTTCCTCAGCCGAAAAAAAAATTGGAAACCGCTGTTTAAAGGAAAGGATTAGAACGGGAAATAAGTTTTCAAAGAATTTCCTTTATTAAGGAGATGAAAATTAAAAAGTCAATTATGCCATTTTTTGTTTAAACAGTGTGGTTACAAATATACAGAAAAAGAAAATACCCAGATTATTCCAGAATAATTTTATCAAATTTCCCTGATATTTATAACTTTAGACATAAATTTCATTACTAATTTTTCAGTTGCGAGTTATTTTAGACATAAAATATATTCTAAAACACTTTAAAAAAAATATATATATATTTATGTAGAAAATAAAATTGGTGAAACTGCAACTTTTTAAAAAAAAATTATAACAGGATTATTTTTAGGAAAAAATATTGAACTTTCAGGTTCCCAAAAATCAAATTAATTCATTAACCCTGATTTTTTGGATGCATATTTAAATTCCCTGATTTATCCTGATTATTGAATTTCTCTATTCTCTTTGTTATGCGGCCACTCGGTTAAATAATGCTAGAATTTGTTTTCAAATTGCACCTCATTTAAAAACTGTTACTCTAAATAACTTTTTCTTTTTTGTGTGTCTGACAAATTGTACTTAAATTTCAAAACAAATTAAAATTATAATATATAAATATTTTTAGCTATTTAAAAAGGAATATCCATACGCCTAATCAATTATACACAGCCTCAAAAAGCACTGTTACTGAAAGTTTTTTTTTTATGGCTTAACATGTTTATTAATCTGAAATTAAAAAAATAAAAATAAAATTGTGAAACTGTTAGAAGGACAAATATTGTTATCATAGGAATACTACTAAATAAAACCATGTTTTCGTTTGTGATTACATAAAATTATGTTTTCAAAAATTTCATTAAAATATAAAGTCTTTAAAATAGAATCGTACAATCTTAATGTTATTTTTTATAGTATCAGTTAGTATAGTTTTAAGTTTTAAAAAGCCAGCTTCAGAAAAAAAGGGAAGTTTTTCTTTATTATGCATGCAAAAATAATTCAAACTAGACATCACATTAACACTTTATG